GCTGATAAGTGTCTGAAGCTGGATTTGATTTGGTCTTCCAGACTCCAAGTCCAGTGCTTTCTCCATGGTGCCAACAAGCTCCCTCTAAGAATATCAGGAGGTGAGTCAAAGGCTATAGATATCACAACATTCCCTGGGCTTGGACCAGCACAACGAACCGTAGTGATCCATAGTGGTCCATAGAAAAGCAAATATGCTGGCACTAGAATAGAGTCAATTAGGTTTGGACTAAGCATGGGTATAGAGATTCCCCCACCTATTGTGTTTGTCATCTACCTATGGCCATGTCACTTCATCTGCTTGTGACTCAGTTTCTTCACCTAAAGTTCAGGACTAATAATACTTATACTTCCTAACTCAGAGGCTTCTTGAAGAGAAAGTGCTTTATAAATACAAGCCATTTGTTATTATTGTTGTTGCCATCATTATTAATAATAATATTGAATGGTTATTAAATCAATAAAGTATTATATATTTAATAATGATGACTACTACTAACTAAATCATGATGAATCTTGACTGGTAGGAGAAGGAATGGCAAAGGAATATGCTTCTTCTACACTAATTGGACTTAATGAAGTCATCAGACAAAGGATCTAAAATAAGCCTACTGTTTACACTGGTCTTAACACACACCAATCTACATTTCATGACCTCCTATTTGCTTCCCACCAGTGATTTGAGATCACACAAAACCTAAAAACAAAATCAATTTGCTGTATCAATTGTAGCCTCCTCTATCCCCCACCAAAACAGGACAACAACATTTAGAAGCCAACTTATGCTCAGGGGAACTCACACCCCCTTCTATTAATAGTCCAAGATTCCAATTCTGATTGTTGAAATTAACTGGAAAGATCAAAGATGTAGGTGGGGACAAGCCATTGAAAGTTCTCCAGAACAACTGGTTCAGCCATATCCAAGCCAGGGCAACCTGAGGTAGGACTTGTTAATTCTGATATAGGATGAGATGTGTTATGGAAGGAATTATTAGCCTTTTGGGAGTCATGAACCACTTTGACAGTCTGGTGAAGTCTATGGACCTCTTCTGAGGAAAAAATGTTTTTTTAATGCATAAAATAAAATTTATAGACTTAAAAAGGAAATATTAAAATAAAGTTATTAAAATATTTCTAAAATAAGTTCATGGACAAGTTAAGAACCTCTGCTTTGTAGACACCAATGTGAGAAGAGATAGAATATGTAACTAGTCAGTAACTAACAGAGAAAGCTAAGCCAAGCTACCAGACCAAACATAAGATTGGTGATCCCATACCACACAGTAGATCTAACTCTGTCCACACAGAAAAACTGAGAGGTCATACCTGGTGTTCAACCTAAAGGAGAGAAGGAAAAAGGCAGGTTTTAGTTTCAGTGTAGGTTCTTTTTTTTCTTTTGTACCATTCACAAAGAGATCAGAGTCCCTAGGTTCTTTCATTTTTTTCCCGACTTCCCAACCAGTCAATCATATAGACCCTTTGTTTTGAGCACTGAAATGGCAGAAGGTTATAGGATTATACAACATGGAGCTGGAAAGGACCTTACAGATAATCTCATCTAACCTCCTCATTTTTTATGAAAAACTGTGAACTAGTTCCTCCTCACCCTCCAAAGCCTATTACAAATCTTAAGAAACAGCATTCCCTAAAATTTAAATACATTTTTCAAGCACTTGGTTAACCTAAGTCATTTGACTTGACCATGGTCACATTGGGAAATAAGTAGCCGAGGCCAGGATTTGAAATCAGGGCTTCTGATTACCTGTGTGGTGTTCATGCTTTCCTAAGCTCTTTGAGTGTGTACATATATACATGGGTGGGCCATTCTCCCTCCTATTCTCAAGGAATTCAGCACCTTATTTACAGTCTCACTCTCTGCTCTAACCTGCATCCTTATGTTTAGTGACTTTGTATGTCCTCTAAAACACCCTGGCTGCCCAGTTCATCAGCTATTTCAGTTCCCATGACTTGTATCTTCATTCCACCTCAGTCACACACATGGATAATTATAACCTTTGGCCTTGCCATTCTACATAACTGTACAACTGTTCTAGCTCTCTGATAGATAACTGAAATTCATTTCTTCAACAACGATCTCATATCCTACCACTTGTCCCTGTGACTCAGTCATGCACCATCACTGGGAATACCCTTCCTCCCTTTCTTCCCCCTTCTCTCTTCCCAATTCCTCTCTGCATTCCCAGAGCTGGTCTGGGAAAGCCAGTGAGTCAGTAGGAAGACCCGTTATTACTGGAAGCGCCTTGTCCCTTCACCCCTTCCTTTGACCAGAGCCACTCAGAAAGCATTCAGGCTGCTTAATTACTCACATGGTGTGCATGAGATGGGAGTCATCGACTCTATTCTTTGTGTACTTGTCCATTTGGTACTTGTCCAAACCTTCCCTTTTCTCCTCAAGTCTTTAATACCCATCCTCCTTCTCAGTATAGGACCTTGTCTCATACTTTACTTAGAAAATAGAGGCTATCTGGTATGAACTTCTTTCCGTCTTTTTTTCTCTACCTCAAAATGCCTTGAACCTTTTCCCTATTCTCTCCTTTTTTCTAGTCTCTGACGAAGAGGTCAACCTTTTCCCCAATACCAGCCTTACTCCTGGGTTCTTGATCCCATTTACTATTGGCTCCTCCACAAGTTTGCCCTCTCAGGTATCCTTAATCTCTGTCTAATCTATAACCCCTCTCCATTTCTCTACTGTCTATAAACATACTCAAAAGTCCCTCATCCTTTAAAAAAATCCCCAAACATTCACTTGATCTTATCATCCTCTCAAGCTATCACCTAGGCAGCTGGGTAGTGGAGTGGATAGAGGTCTGGGCATGAAATCATGAAGATGAGTTGAAATCCAGCCACTTACTAGCTGTGTGGCCCTGGGCAAGTCACTCAGCTACTGACTGCTTCAGTTTCCTCGATGTAAAGTGGGGATGATAACAACACCTAAGACTTGAAGATATACTATAGCAAATGGCAAGGACAGAAATATAGCCAAATGGTGGTGAGATTCAAGAGTAAAGAAAGTATGAAAGCTGAGTTATCTTAGATTGGCAAAATATATTTGTCTGGAGCCAGATCAAGAGGGCTACAAACTGAATAGGAAGAAGGAGGGAGAAATTTTTCCTCAAATATGTATGTCAAGCTAGAGAGGAGTAAAAGGCATAATGCAGAAAGAATACTAGTAGAAAAGATCAATGCATTAAAAGTAGGAATTGGACAAGATGACTTTGGAGGTTCTATCTATATATCAGTCAATCAATCAATAAAAATTTTTAAGCACTTAAAATTTGCCAGGCACTATGCTTAGTACTGGGGATACTAAAAGAGGCAAAAGACGGTCCCTGTCCACAAGAGCTCACAGTGAAATCTATACTCCTGTGAATTTATAGAAGGTAATAGCTAAGAAGAGAATTAGTAATAAAACCTATAGCCTTAGGTGTTGAAAATACAAATGCATGAAATATGGGTAAGATGTTGAACTTCTGTTGTTGTTGAGTCATTTCAGTCATGTCTTACTCTCCATGACCCCATTTGGGATGGTTTTTTTTTTGGTTTTGTTTTTTTGCAAATATACTGGAGTAGCTTGCCATTTCCTTCTCTAGCTTATTTTATAGATGAGGAAACTCATTCAAACAGGGTTAAGTGATTTGTCCAGGGTTAAGTGACTTGTCCAGGGTCACACAGCAAGTAAGTGTCTGAGGCTGCATTTAACCTCATGAATATGAGTCTTCTTGATTCTGGCACTGTGCCACACATGTGTTCAAACACAAGGCTACTTTGAGGGACAGAGTGAAGACATGAATAGCATACTGAGATATTTAGATGACCAGAGAAGCTGGGACCTTTTTTGTATCCTGGAGGGAAAAACTGGGTAAGATAGGTGGATTTATGTAACGTGGCTCTTAATTGGATTTGAAAAGTCACCTTCACATGCACAACATGGAGAGTCATGGCTAACCACGTAAAAAGGAAATGGGTATTCAAGCAGATTACAGGTTCAATGTATGTCAACAATATGACAAGGTGGGAAAAAAAAGCTGAGGTAATCTTTTATGGCATTGAGAGGCATCATGTCATCAATGAGGAAGACCCTTGTTTCTGTTGTACTCTTCCTTGGTCAGAACACATTAAGAGTATTGTGTTCAGTTCTGGACACTACAGTTTAGGATGGACATTCATTAACTGAAAAGTGAGGTATGGTGAGAGTGATAAGGGAACTTGGGACCATGATTCTCTTAGATAAGTCATTGTTCTTCTCTGGGGCTCAGTATTCACATCTGTAAAATGAGAGGAGTGGAGGATGGACTAGGTGACTCCTACTAGCTTTACAATTACAATCCAAATCCTTTGGACTAGGGATATTTACCTTGGAAGAAAGAAGACTCAAGGATGAAATGATAACCATTTTTTGGTTTTCTTATTTGTGAAAACAAGGGTGTAAGGGATATGACCTCCTGGAGAAAGAAGCAGAATTCCTGAGCAGTGCACTTTCTGGAGGGAGATTGCCCACATGGCATCTATTTATGGACTTATTCAATTCTCTGGGTCTTCTGTGTTTTCTTTGGGGTGTCTGCTATCCAGTACGCAGAGAACCTCATTAGGACCAGAACCTAATTACTATCTGGTCTTTCCATCTGCCATGAACTAAACATAAGTTCTCCTCTACGATTCATCTCTCCCATTAGAATTTGAGCTTTTTGAAAGCAAGGACTGTCTCTATTTCCTATTTGTATCCCCAGTGCTTAGCACAATGTTAGGTATATCATCCACAGTGAATGCTTTTCCATTTCATTCTATATCATCTCTAATGTCTCTCCCAGCTCTAACATTCTATAATTCTATAATTATTTGTTCAGGAATTCAGAAAATGTTCAGAAAGGAAAATGAGAGGCCTAGGATTTGGCCTGCGAAGTTACATTTGTTTTCGTGACTACTCAACGGGACAGTGAAATGCTTGGAAAATATGAGCCAAAAATATAACCCCATCTATACCTTGTATACTTTAAAAAGTAGCATCATCTTTCTACTCTGGTCAGGCTGGATGTTGATGGAGACTACCACGTTAATACTTTCCATGGGCTCTGTCACAGAGAAAAAGTACTGAAGCGTATTCCCGAGGGCATCTAGACAAAAGAGAACAGTACATAGTCAGTCCTTGACCTTACTACCCCAACTCCTGCTCACTGGACCAATGAGCTCATTGCAGCAGGAGTATATACTGCTTTAGATTAATCACTCTGTCTACTATGTTCATGTATGTTTGCACGCACGCGTGTGTGTGTGTGTGTAGGCATATAGGCAGGAAACATTCAGAATCTGGTGAGTAATGAACCTGAAACAGCAAGCTACCCTGATAGAGACAATGGGAAATAGGTGTTGTACTTGTGGCTGGCATTAACATTTTACTCAAAAGTATTCACCAAAAAATTGAAATGGGCATAAATTCAGTGAATACTAATGTAAATGCCGAGAATAGTGGGAATAAGATAAAGATGTATTTTCAGCAGAAAAGAGATATACTAACTGGAAAGGCAACATTATACAACATAAACATTGATGGATTTGGGATCAGAAGATCTTGATCCAAATTCTAGCCCTGTCCCTTGCCACCGGTGTGTCCCTGGGCAAATCACAAACCTCTCTTGGTCTTGATTTCCTAACCTGCAAAAAGAAGGGGTTGGGTTAGATGGCCTCAGAGATGCCTTCTGCCTGTAAATCTGTCATCTGTAATAGGAATCTGGAAGTCTGTGTTACTATTCGGACCCTAAGAATGAGGTACCAAGGCAATACCGGGACAGAATATACTCAGGAGAGCTTTCCCTCATGTTGCCTTCTATGGCCGTTCCATATTGAGATGGGTGTAACTTTTGTTCTCTTGTGTAATTGGTTGGCATTCTAGTTCACCAGTCAGGTTCCAGTAAACTATATGACTGTCATATTCTGCCATATTATGATAGTTGGTCCTTGGATTTTCAGATGACAGGATTCCTAGAACTAGGTGGCATAGTGGATGGAGCACTAGGCTTGAAGTCAAGGAGACTTGAGTTCAAATGTGGCCTCAGATATTCACTAGCTATGTGAGCATAGACAAGTCATTTAACCTGTTTGCCTCAGTTTCCTTGATGGTAAAATGGGGATAATAGCATCTACCTTCCAGTGTTGTTGTGATGAAAATATTTATAAAGAGCTTAGTATAGTGCCTGGCACATAGCAGGCAATATCTACATACTGGTTATTATAATTATTAGCTAAAATTTGGAGGATCCAGATGCCAAAGTAAAGGGGGAAACATGTTTTGACAGAGCATCATCCAACCAGACCATATCTGAATAAAACTTATGTATATATAACCACCATCTTTTTTTGTTCATAGTAGCTATTGTACAACTTTTCATGCCAGCACAGATCTTTTTATTTAATTTCTAGTCATTCTTCTTGAAGTCAATAAATAGTCAATTTGCAGATAGCCTCTAACCCTCCCTACTCTCAGTCTAGTCAAATACTTACCAGAGCTACTATCTTGCACAATATTTCCTTGGATCTTTTTGACTTCATATGGAATTTGGAACCATGTTCCATTGTCCAATTCTCTATCGTTCATTACCATTGGATATTGATAACAAATAAACATGCTGGTAAATAACTTCTGGAAATCTTGAAGGGACATCCTGTGAAAAACAAATGTGTGTGGTAAAATAAGCATATGACTGATATCTGATATACTGGCTGTGTCTGCTCGGGTAAGTAATTTTCCACTTGAAAATAACAATGGAGCCCAGAGTATCTGTACTGGAAATGACCATAAAGCTGGGAAGAGTCCCTGAAAGAGTCCCCCGCTAAAGAGACCTGGTTTGGCAACGGTCAGGATGTTCGTGGCTTAGCTATCCTTGTGTGACCAATAAAATCACTCTAGGGGTCTGGAAATGGAATGCAGATATTTTCCATAGCCACTGTAAGTAATCTACTATTCTCTTAGGCTGACTTTGTCTCCTAGGTGTGAGTATGTACCTGGTGGCTTGAAATACAGAAACCGTTGAATAATGGACTTGGAATCAGAAAGAGCAGACATTCAAATCCTGGGGTGGACACTTATTTACCTTGTGAACCTTGAGTGAGGTACTTAACTTCTCTCACTTAACCCAGTTTTCTGCTCTGTAAAATGGGCTTAATAATTAGCACTGACCCCACAGATTTATTGTGAACACAAGTTAGGCAATTAACTTCTCTCATATTCAGGTTCCTAATCTGCAAACAGGTATGATAATAGCCCCTGTCTTACAATGTTGTTGTGAAGATTAAACGAGCTATCTCTGCAGACCTTGAAAAGCTATATAAACATCAGCTCTTGTTATTATTGCTGCCCCCCCCAACAAATCCCCCAGTGGAATGTAATCAGAGGGAAGCAGTCTTCTTGGTTCTGGTACACCAGAAAGAGGTGTACTTCTACGTGTTATGGCTCAGTGTGAGCAGTTGAACCCCTGGGGGCCATCAGGAGACTCAGCAGGACAGACAACTGCTGATGACTGTCATCATTTGTTAAGTACTGAAAATCAAATTGTCTAGGGACATTCATAAATTGGAGTGTGTCAGGGAGGAAGTCAGCCAGCTCCCTGAGAAGCTCTTGAAATCATGTGATGATGGGAGGAAAAGTTGGAGGAAAAAAGAATATTTAATCCTGATGAAGTCTTCGAGTAAAGATAGAAATCTCTGAATATTAGAGGGCTGGCAAGTGAAAGCAGGATTTGTTCTGTGTAATTCCAGGAAGGACTTGTATTCCAGGGAGGAAGTAAAAAGGAAAACTTTTTTCACAAGTAGAACTGTGCAAGATACAATGTTACTTTTTTTTAAAATGTTATTAATGCAGGATAGTAGGAAGACCAGGACTGAAATCCCTCCTGAGATACTTACCGACAGTGTGACCCTGGGTAAGTCATTTAACCTCTGTTTGCCTCAGTTTCTTCATCTGTAGACTGGCAATTGCTAGCATTTGTATAATACTTTAAGGTTTCCATATTGGCAAAATGAGGGAGTTGAATTATGTCCTTTTCAGCTCTAAATTACTACTATTTGGATTCTTTTATTTTTGCTAATATCCCCTCCCCCAAAGAACCTCCCTTTATGACTCTTTGTTGGCTCAGCTATTTGTTTCAATTTAATTTGTCAGCTCCTTATTAGCTGAATTCATGTGGATGCTGCCCATGGAGGGCCTTTTGATTCTTCTTTAGCATCTTAGCAGTCCCCTACACCCAAATGGAGGTAAAACTATTTTTGGTTATATTTGACAAATCTAATGTTGTAGAACATTCATCTACCTTTACTATTGCTTGATGAAGTGATGTCTGCTTATTTCAAAAGTAATTCTGTAAGTTTTTGACCCATTTATCATGTACTTTGATGTCTATCAATTTTCTTCATCCTATTTGGCAAGGAAATATTAATTTTTCTATAGTTGCCTTAGGCTATTGGGGTCCTGAATTCCACAGATACTATATGAGTTTTTGTTATGATAATTTTTAAATTTTATAATTTATTTTTTTTAATTTATTTTATTTTTAAATTATGGAATAAAATAAGCGCTTCCATGACAGAGTATGATAAAAAGATTATTACATATGAAACTTTATTATATATTAAATTTTATAATTGCAAAGCACACATTAAGATTGTGGTCTGGGAATATGTTATTTTTCAACACTGATTCCTCAGTGTCCAGAACAGTATCTTTCATGCAGCCCAATTTTAATTGATTGTTTTTGAATGTCATAAATAGATTGCCAAGCTAACTGTGGACACTGGGCATGTGCCCAATTTGGCTGTTAGCCTGCTTCTGAACTGCCTTGAGAGATATTGAAACTTGACAGTACATGTTGCTTCCAGGCCCCACAGGGGCTGGCACAAAATACACAACTAGCAAAGCTCATCATTGACCCTTTACCTATGCTCAGGGATAGAGGAAGAGGGTTTCAACTTAAGCTAAATTTTCAAAAAGTACTTGAATAAAAGAAAAATACCAAAACTCTCCATCTTCTTTCTTCTTATAAAGCCTGGTCCTCTCTGATTCTTGGACTCTCTGCCATTCTGGGGAACTGTGAGGGGGAGAGAGAGAGAGAGAGAGAGAGAGAGAGAGAGAGAGAGAGAGAGAGGAGAAGGAGAGAGGGAGAGAGAGGGGGAAACAGAGAGTTTAATCATAATCTGGGGATTAAGATTATAATCATGGTCTAGGGAAATTTAATAACAACAGCAATAGCAAACATTTATATCACACCTGCAGACAGCTAAGTGGCACAGTGGATAAAGGATCAGACCTAGAGTCAGGAAGTCCTGAATTCAAATCTGGCTACAGACACTTACTAGCTGTGTGACCCTGGACAAGTCACTTAACCCTGCTTACCTCAGTTTCTTCATCTGTAAAATGAGCTGGAGAAGGAAATGGCAAATCACTGCAATATTTTTGCCAAGAAAACCCCAAATGGGGTCATGGAGTGTTGGACATGACTGGAAAATTGACTGAACAACAACAAAATATTGTACTTACTATATGGCAGGCATTATGCTAAGAACTTTACAAATATCATCTCTCACTATCTTCTGTTCTACTCCTGAAGCTGTTCTGCATACATTGCTGCCATGGACACAAGGAAATCAATTTTCTTAGCATACCACAGAAAAGTGAATGAATGAATGATCTCAGATCAAGATGCCACTAGTACCCAGCTAAAATGGGGGCGGCAAGAGAGAAGAATGTCAGTTCCTCCATATTTTCCATAATAATCTGATGTTTTTTCCCATCAGTTTGGCCCCAATAAAAAGTAGTCTTATATCCTACTGTTTGACCCTTTAGTCTTTTAATATAATCTATTTTATTTTTAATTCATATAACAAAACAAGCATTTGTATAACAGTACAATAAAAAAGATGATTATATATGAAACTACAAATCTACCAAGTACAACTTGCTATTTCCTCCAAATATACAACAAAGTTATCATATATGTATCTTTTTTTTCTTTCCTCTTCTTCCCCCCACTGTAGATATGGCTTCCATTAGATACAAATATATATATATATATGTGTGTGTGTGTGTGTGTGTGTGTGTGTGTGTGTGTGTGTGTGTATGTGTATATATATATATACACATATACACATATATACACACATTAGATATATATATACACACACATATATATGTATATGTAAAATTAATCTGTACATACTTCTATTTATCCCTTCTTTCTCTGTACGCAAATGATCAGGGCTGAATTATGTATGACCCTTCAGTTTTAACCTTTCTCTGAGGCGCTGGGGAGTAAGGATGCTGCTGTTCCAAAACAATTCTCAGCTGTTGACCCTGCTGCTACCATCAGGTGCCCTAATGCTAGCCTTACTCTCTCCTCCCCTTTCATAATTTTTCCTTTCTTTTCCTGAACTCTTGGACCCCGTCCTAGAGCCACACAACATTCCTTTATCCCAAGAGATGAGTGAATATTCCAAATCCCAGCTCTCTATGTGGGTCCTGGTTATTCCTTCTTCCTTCTTCCCTCTTCCCCCGGAGGAATTATCATTACAATGGAGGTATGGATATTGGAAAATAATTGTAGTATATCAAACAAAAGGCATCAATAAACCTCTTAAAGAAAAGAGCTGTGTATAATTGGATTAGGGAGTGAATTGAGAAATCCCATTCAGCTGTAGATTTGATTATGTGGCTGCAGAGGTTCATTCTAACTCTAAAGTTCTGTGATTCTGTAATTCTCTTCACTACCTCTTTCTCTGCTCTGTTTCCCATGCTTGATGACATTGACATTGTGGTCCCCTCAGACCTACATGGGAGCAGAGGGGTCAGAGGTTACAGTCATAGAATGCTAAAATGTTCAAAATAGGACTTTAGGGCATTGGCCCCATTTTAGAGACAGTGAAACTGACACTAAGGAGATGGAAATGACTTGTCTGTTGATCACTCAGAAAGTTGGAGCAACAGAAGCCAGCCTAGTTCCCTGGCTCTGTGCTTCCCACGCTTTCTTCAGAGCTGTGTGTGCTAGCCCCCTAGTGATCTGCAGCGAGGGCATAAACCCTCCAAACTCATAGGTTCTGCTCCCTCTACTCAAATTTAGTATGGCCAATGAGTCTTCTGCTAAAAGTTGAATAGAATGTACAAAGTTCTAAGACTAGGGTCTAATTAAGTTCGTTCTCAGGGTAGGGCTGGCTTTGGTGCTGGCCACCCACTGTGTCTGAGGGAGCCCTGTCATTTCTGCACTTGGGGGAATGATCATCTCTTGATTTTTCTGCAACATACTGATATAGTCAGATGCTTGATTTTAAAATAGAAATTTTATAATTAAGTGATAATTGCATTTTCTACAAGTAAGGAGAAAATAAATGTAGTGTAAATCAATAAGGCATTGATTCTAGTAAGCTTACCTCTAAGTGGGTGCAACTGCAATGTCAATTATGACTGAGACTGGAACACCTAGAGCCGTTGCCCATCCCTTTATTTCTCCCCAAAATGAGAGGAAATATAGAACCTGAACTCAAACAGAAACCTAAAGGCTCTTAGGACCTCCTGCACCATCTACCCAGCTTGCTAAGACACGAATATTTTCTTGTCAGAAAGCTTATGAAGTCTAATGCTCTAAAGGGCACTAACAACAGAGAGGGCCTCCACACCATTGCTAGGTTAATGTTCCTAATATGTTGATTTGAACACATTCCACTTCCTCTCATGCCCATACACCAAAATAATTACATAAACCATCACTACATTTCCTACTGCCTATAGGATAAAGTCCAAAGCGCTTAGCCTGGCATTCAAAGCCTCCTCATTCTGGACCCTGATCAGGATGTGGAGTCAAAGAACCTGCTTTCGGTCCCCAGCTCTGTCACTGCCTTTGTGACACTGGACACTTCACCATCCATCCTGAGTCTCAGTTGCCTAATCTATAAGATGGAAGGAGAGAAAGGTTGGATATAAAGAACTCTAAGGTCCCTTCTACTTCTAGATCTGTGACCAGATGACAGTAATAGATAGGGCCAGAGGAATGTAGAGATTTACCTAGCTACGTTGGCACTGGATGTGGAGTAAGAAAGATCTGAGTTCATAGTGGGCCTCAGACACATAGCTGTGTGACCACTTAATCTCTCTGAGTTTCCTCATATATATGTAAAATAAGGAAAATAATAGAACTCACTTCCTGGGGTTGTTGTGAGGATAAAATGAGATAATATATGTAAAGCTCTTTGTAAACCTTAAAGCGCTATATAAATGTTAATTATTAGCTGCTGTTATTATTATTATTAGTGCCATATAGTAAAGGCAGAGATGGTAGTAGAAGCTACCTCTCTACTTGTCAAACAAATGATTCCTTCTGAGAATTACACTTTCCCAAACCCTACTGAGCCTACTTACTCCTTCTCTTTCCTCTCCCTAATTCTTAAATTTTTAAAAGAGGCCAGTATAATAAAAATTACAATAATACCTAATTTAATACACAAAGCGACATATCACTCAAATTTACTTTATAGAACAAGATAAAATAGAAAAATAACACTTATCTGTAGGAATAAATGAATAAGGATCTCAAGGAGAAAAATAGGAATAAAAAGAATTTAGCATTATCAGGTCTCAAATTATGTTTTAAAGCAGTAATCATCACAACAATTTGGCACTGGTTAAAAAATAGAGAAGTTGATAATAGGAACAGACTAGATAATCAAGACCCCAAAGCAATCAAAGAATATACTCAAAGACACAAATTATTAGAGCTAGCACACAATTCATAGGATCAGAGTCAATAAAAACTGAAAAAACTAGAGAGAAACTTGGCAGAAAATAAGCTTTGGCAATCATCTGATATCATGAACTGAAATGAAGTCCACATGGGTAAGTGGCTATGGTGCTGAATGTTACATCGTTTTTAAAAATTAGAGGGAAACAGTAATAAATAATAACCATTATTTAAATAGCACCTTCTGTTTGTCAGGCAATGTGCTATGTACTTTACACATATTATCTTATTTGATCCTTACAGGAATCATGGGATATTATTATCCTGATTGTAAAGTTATGGAAATGGAGGTAGACAGAGGTTAAGTGACTTGTCCAAGGTCACATAACCAGTAACTGTCTGAGGTTGGATTTGAACTCGGGTTTTTCTAACTCCTGGTCTGGCTCTCTATCCACTGCACCACTGAACTTCATATTCTAATATGTCTATGGAAACATGAGGATATATGGGTACATGAATAGAGGGAAAATTCTTAAACTAAGGGTAAAGGCAATGATTATAAAAAATTAAAAAGAAAGATTTGATTACACAAATTCAAAAGCCATCTAATGGAGAAAAATACCATAAAGCTGTAATAAGAGATAGTGTTGATTGGGGGAAATCTTTGCTTCAATTGTGATAAGAGCAGATATCCAAAATATGTTGGGGGATTTAGGTAAATACATGAGACCGAGAATTACTTCCTAAATAGATAAGTAACCAAAGGACACAAATAGTCAATTTTCAAAAGAGAATTCATTATCAAAAACCAAATAAAAGAATGCTGTGAATAACTAAAAAAACAAATAAATAAAAGAAGTGCAAATAAAACAATTCAGGTTTCACTTTACAAATTGGAAAAAAAAACGACTGATGCTGAAACTGGTACACGTTGGATGGGCTATTGAAAGATGGGAACACTGATGTACAGCTGGTGGAGTGGTGAATTGGTCCAACTGTTCTGGAAAACAATGTGGAACTACTCTAGGAAAATCATTAAATTGAAATATGCCCACTGACACAGTAATATCACTACTGTGCATATTTGAATCTAAAGTGGATCAAATACAGAAATCAGAACAAAAATACAGAATTCACACATGTGTATGTATATTTATATATACATACACATGCATATATACTATATATGTATATTATGTATATTGCATGTATACATACACTCCTATATATGCATATACTTATATACATATGTGTATGTATTTGTGTATATGAATGTGCACAGATATATGTATACATATGCCTCTATCTTCATATACATATGTGCTTATGTATATGTATACACATATACAAATGTGTGTATATATGTATATATGCATATATATGTGTAGATAGATAGATACATGCATGCATGCACACATATTTATTTCTTCAAGCTCTACACTGGGGATGATTGGAAAATATTTTCCCTTATAGTTTCTTCTGAACTTCATTTGGTTCTTTAATTAATGGAAGTAACCATCATGTTTGTCCCATAGCACCTCATGTGAGAGTGAGAGTGTAGGTCTGGTAGCAGTGTCACCTTCTTCAAGACCCCTTCCTTGATATACTCAGTCAAATGAAGTTGCAGGGCCATTGTAATACAGAGAGATTACACCTATTCTGCTTAGCTCCAAAGAACAGAGTTAGGACTAATGAGTGGAATTTACATGAAAGAGTTTGGTTTATTGTAAGTGTAATTCTTGTCTCAAAGCCCACTGGCATGAGTTTCTCTCCTCATTGGTGGGAGATGAAGGCCCTGACCTATGTGAGAGGTGGGGCAGAGTTGATGAGAGACAGAGAGCTTCTGTTCTCAGAGTTCACCTCTGGGACTGGTCAAACCTCAAGTTTTCTTTGAGTATCAAGTCAGGTTCTAGCTTTGAGAAAGAAGATGAATGAGGCCAGCCCTATGCAGGCTACTGAAGGAATTGACTTAGAAAAGACATGAGAAGAGCTGGTAGTCTCCACCATGTCCCCATTCCCAGCTTGCTACTCTAGAGACTTCAGGGAGTTTCCCCTTGGATGAGATCCAGTACCCTCTCTCTTGACTAAGTTTTTATTTCACTCCATTGGGGAGAGCTCCTTTGCTCTGTATTGTCTGATATATATTCTCCTATGTAGACCTTCTCTGATTTCAGCTTTGTTATTTAGTTGGATAAATGGATTTCTTTACTATTCGCTATGTATGTTCATTGTGATTTGGTGGGAAAGGCATCAAGCCTTGGAATATAGAGCTTGGGGTCCTCCTCTCCCCTAAAAATGACAAAGTAATTAGAAGTTAAATGGAACCTGATCATATGCTCTAGACCAGGGGTGGGGAACCTGCGGCTTGAGGCCCCATGTGGTCTTCTAGGTCCTCAAGTGCAGCCCTTTGGATGAATCCAAACTTCACAGAGCAAATTCTATTAATAAAGGATTTGTTCTGTGAAGTTTGAGTTCAGTCAAAGGGCTGCACTTGAGGACCTAGCGGGCCACATGTGGCCTTGAGGGCGTGGGTTCCCCACCCTGCCCTAGACTCACAGTATTTAAGGGAGCAGATAGTTATATTTCTAGCCTGGCACCACCTCTCTCTGAGGAGAGCAGAGTGACATTCAGCCCCAATCTCCTGCTTTCCCTCCCGGCAGGAATGAACGTCTTGCTTGGAGAAGGGTTAGGGATGTTTATTCTCTTTTTTTATTCTAGTTAGAGGCTAGGGATGTTTACTCTCTCTTCCTCTGAGCCACACAACAATAGCTCCCTCACCACATGTGGAGTCCTCATACATGTGGGGACTCACCATTTGTCTTTCTACACAAGGAAGAACTTTCTAACAGAGTTGCAGGAAAACAGAATGGAAAACCTCATAGGATAGAGGACTCCTTGAAACTGATGGTATTTGAGTAAAGGCTAGATGATCACTTGTCAGGATGTTGTAGAGAATGCTCATCTATTGGGGTAGATGGTTGCTTAATTCTCTTCTGGGTCCTAAGATTTTATGATGCTGTGACCTCCTTAGAACTACCAGGTTGTATGTACTTACTTATTGCACTTTCATAACTTAAATTATGTTGACATCGTCTCCTAAAGTATAAGCTTTTTGATGACAAGGACCATGATATTCATCTTTGGATCCTCAGAACCTAACATACAAATACTGATCCCATCATATATACTCCACAATTACAGGAAGGACCTGTAAGGAAACACTTTCCCAAGAGGTTTTGGTGCTAGACAACTGGTGAAGGAGATCAATTTAAATGGGAGATGGAGATGAGACTGACCTAGAAAAACTTGTTAACTTAGGAAAAAGAAACCCAATGTACATCATGCCAGTTCAGTTATAGAATCACAGAATTTTAAGGTAGAAAGGAACTTCAGAAGCTATCTAATCCAACCTGCACGTGGAAAAGAGCCCTCTTACAACATACCCAAGGAACCATCAAGCCTTTGATTGAAGACCACCTACCAAAGAACCCAATGCTACTTTTGGATAGCTCTAAAAATTAAGAAGGCTCTCCCCAACCCCAACCTCAAGCCTAAATTTGCTCCTTTGGAATTTCCACTCATAGAAATTGACTAATTTCTCTTCTTCATGATAGCCCTTAAATATTTAAAGATAGCTATCATGTCTCTTTCCCTTTCTCCATCCCCAGTCTTCTCCAGGATAAGGAATGGACTTTAGGGATAATTCAGCCCAACTATTTTGTGGATAAGGAAACTGAGGTCCAGAGAGGTTAGGTAATATGCCCAAAATTCCCAGTTAAATGCTCATGTGGCATGAACTCAAGAACCTTGACCATCCTTTACTCTCCTCTGGATACTTATCAAAGCTCTTCCTAAAATATGGTTCCCAGAACAGAACATGATACTCACACCTGATCAGAGTGGAGTGCAGTAGGAATGTAAATGATCCTAGAAACTATTCCTTAATATAGTCCAAAAGCAGATTAACCAAATTTAGAAAGGAAGGACTGGACTGACTACCCACTTTGTTTTGGGTCATAAATTCCATGGATCTCTGTCTACAGGGACCTCTGAGGCACCAGACATTTTTCTAGATTGATAACACTTCCTGTAGAATTGTTGTATGCTTCCTTCAGACATTGGAGCTTTTTATTTCCTTTCCTGCAAGGCAATATTCTCATGCCAAAGAGAAACAGAGAAAGGGACACACACACACACACACACACACACACAGAGAGAAAAGGAAAAAAAAGAATAGAGGGGAGAGAGAAAAGAAAGAAAAGAGAAAAGAAAGGAGGATAGATGGAAGAGAAGAGAGAAAATAGTGAAAATGGAGGAAGGAGAGAAAAAAGATGGGAGAGTAAATAGAAAGTGAGAAAAAAGCCTGAGAGAACATATGTGAGACACATTCACACTGTCACATATGAAGCTATAACAAGAGCAAAGCTGTGATGGTTGTGACTTGGGACATGCTTGATGAGAAAATTTGAATGGGTAATCTTTGGGCAGAGAGAAACATCATGCCTTTTTAAAAGGAAAGGATCCCTGAAACACCACAGTTTTACCTCCAATGGAAGAAGAAAGGATATATATTTTTAAAATCTCATACTTATCACTCCAACGTTCAGTCCATTCTTGACGGCCCCAGGGGTTCCACAATCGGATGAGTTCTTCTCGGCCAGTGTCCAAAATAACCTACAAGAAAAGAACCAAGAAGTAAAAGAAGAATCATTAGTAGAAAGATGGGGAATATACCTCCAAGGATTAATTTAACTTCTGACTTCATTTGACTACAGTCAAACCTTTTTTTTAATGAAGCAAGGGGAGATGGGGCCAGGGGGATGGAAATCAATATTTCTCTGCTGTGTTGTGCTGCAATGAGGCAGAAGAAAAATTGTGTTCTCCCTCATCTCCTTTCTCTGCTCTACCGAACCTGCAGGGAGCTCTCCCTTGGCAAGTGTCAGCTTTCTGATTCAGTACAATTGGTCTTATGGACCTGAAGAAGGTAGAAATTTAATAGCATTGGATGGCAGCTATAGACTCAATGGGCTAGAACTTTAAGAAGTCATAGCTTCATAAGCGATTCGGTCAGAATCTGCAAACTAAGCCTCATAAATTCTCTCCCTTTCTGAGTCAGTCATACGCTGGGACCCATTTTCTGCATTCAAATCACTTTGGTTAGGAGGCGAGAGATGGGAAGCAGGAGACCTACTGGAGCCCTGAACCAAGGACCAATATTCCCAGATCTCTTCTCAGCCCAACTCCTGATTTCAAATATGAGGATGTTTACTCTGATCAGGATCACAGAATCTCAGAGTTAGAAGGGATCTCAGAAGTCAGTTAGTATAACTCATATATGGGTATCTGAACAGTAATTTTCTCTACAGTACATCTGACATATAATCATCTAACTTTTTCTTGGAGAATTCTAGTCATGGGGACTTATAAGAGATGCAGGCATGATGTAATACAATAGAAATCAATTAATTAACAGCAACTATTAGAGCTCTACTATAGTCCAGGCATGGTGACATGCAGTAGGGAATACTAATGCAAAGAATTAAATAATCCCTGCTTTCAGGGAGCTTACATTCTAGCAGATGTTTAACTTGAAATCATGGTTCCTCAGCTGGACTAGATGACCTGAAAGATCACTTCTAGCTTGACAACTATGATGCTGATCTTATTTGATTCCTTGTATTCAAGACAGGTACTTATGACTCTCTCTTTAACTCCTTGATCAGGAAATTAATGAAGGAGCCTGAGTCACTTTCTCCTCTCCCTCAGGACCATATCCACCAATCACTAGTATTTAATAAGTTAAACAATAGGGAGACACTTTGATTCTTTCAAATTCTGAATTAGTCTTTGGGATGATAGGCCAGCATAGATGTTGTTTTTGCTTAATGTAGTGTGTAAACATCCAGTCTTCAGAGCATGTTCACAGTTGTCTTTTCTAGTTCCAACCCATATCAAAGCTTGGTGAGTACACATGCTTCTGGGAAAGGAGTAATGGATATGCCCTCTTGCCCACTTCAGGTCATGTGAAGTTGTTCTCTATTTCCCATAGGCTTAGTTTGTGGTGATGAAAATTCTTTTAATTGGCTGCTGAGCTGGAACTGAGTATGCATATGAAAGGTTTAATAAATAACCTTCTGTTCTCTTCTCCTCTGATGGTTTTTAAGGAGAAAAAATTGCTGTAAGTCTATATGTGAGAAGAAAGGCAGTAGTTTTGGTTAACTTGTCTCCCCAGGCAGCCACCATGAGTTTGTGAATACATGATACTTAAATGCTGGTGTTCTTCTTTTTTCATGATTTTAAGTGAATGAGATGGAAATGCTCAGGCACACAGTGAGATTAAGAGGTCCATCAAAGCCAGTTAACATCCAACTAATAATCAGGTCTCAGAATCAGTGGGAGCTGTGTGGTTGAGCTGTTTCAAGACTCCTTGTAACCCCTTTTTGGGGTTTTCTTGGCAAAGATACTAGAATGGTTTGCCATTTCCTTCTCCAGCTCATTTTACAGATGAGGAAACTGAGGCAAGCAGTGTTAAGTGACTTGCCCAAGGCCACATAACTAGTGTCTGTGGCCAGATTTGAACTCATCTTCCTGACTCCAGGCCTGGCATTCTATCCATTGTGCCACCAAGCTGCCACAAGTGGGAGCTATAATTGAGTCAAGTGAACAGAATGAGTAGTAGCCCTAGAGAGCAACCAATTGGACCGAGCCCAGTAATGAGCCAACCCAACTGAGCAAGGGGGCAACTGATCCACTGGCCATGCCACACTGAGATGTCAACAAGTCAAGGCATTTACTAGGCATCTACTATGTGCCAGACATTGTGCACACTGGGAATACAAATGCAAGCAAAAGTAAAGACAGTTCATACCCTTAAGGAACTTACATTCTAATGGGAGATGAGAGCACATAAAAGGCAGCTGAAAAGGGTGGGGAGATAGAGAAGGTATCCACATGGGGGCATGGGGACAAAGTCCAGAGAGTCAAGAATGGAACTGGGAGAGGAGTGAGGAATGGCTGTGCTGGGCACTTCCAGGAGGAGCTCGCCAATGGGAGGAGGAGTATGAAGGAGGAGAGAGATCTTCTAAGGTGAGAAGGAAGTTAAAGAATGGTGGTGAAGTCCAAAGAGTTATAAGAAGAGCTGGGAGAAGAGTGAGGAGGGAAGTGCTTGGACACTCTTCATTACAATGGAGAAGTGAACTTAGTGAGGAACCCTTGAAGGGAGAAAAGAACTGCTGAGCCAGGATGTTGCTCCAACCTCAGGTTGGGCTCAATGGATTGTTGCAAACACTTGAAGTTTTAAGTACAGCCTCCCAAGGACCAAATGTAGAGGGGAAAGTGTGCCTTCCAACCTGGAGGGATGTGATTGCACTTCTAGCCTTGTTATACTTCCTCAGGAAATATTCCTTTGTCAAAGCTAGTTGATGTTAATCAATATTCAGGAGATCTTAGCTGCTTTAAAAGTTATTGGGAAGCACATTGGTGGAGGCTTCTCAATAACAGTATCAGAAAATCCTCTAAATTCTCAGGCTTATCCCTAGAACCCAAAGGGAAGAAGTTATCCCTCTCTGGGGACCTGACCTGACAGTGTGAATACCAGTTGAGAAAATGAGCCCTAGGGTGGGGTGCTGGCTACATATATAATCTCTCTCTATATATATACATATATATATATATATATATACTTTATGATTGAGAGGTTAGATGAATTAAAGTGTAATCACTCTATCATTGTACATTGCGCTGTTATACTACTGCTCTTACTGTGCTGTGGTTTTAGAAGAAGAGACAGAGCTCCACTGAGGAGGCCTTGGAGACGTGATTCACTGAGGGAAGGAGGGATGATCCCACACCAGGGAGACTGGAGAAACAGGATGGTACTGCTGGGGAGTGGGGGAGGGAGGAAGAGATTGTTCAAACCTTTAAAGAATAGAAAGGAAGACAGAAGATGAGAAGAATCTGAGAAGACCCCAAGATGAAGCAATCCTGACTGGGGAGCCTGGAAGATGCAGAAAAGCACCAAGTACAGGGCCAAATGACCATCATGAGAGGGACAGTCATGAGGAACTAGAGGCAAATTCTATACCCAGAGCACAGGAATGGCAAATTCAAGGAATTTATTTGGGCACAGTCTAAGGGTTCTCCTGAGTCAGAGTATAAGAGGGAACACTTTTCTCCTGGAGGCCAGATGAAAAGGACCTCTGTGGTGACCAAGAGAGTTGAAATAAATAACCCTACTTTGGAGCTGGGGTGGAGGATGAATGTACAAGTAAGGAGGGTGCCAGTTTCAAAATGATTGGCTGAAACATAGAGGAATGGGGAGTCATTCTTTTAGCTGGATCAAGCAAATTCAATCACATAGGTCTGTGTATCTGTAATTTACCTGGTCTGCATATGGATTTACCGGGTGATTTCCTCACACTATGGTAAAATCATTTGTACTTGTTTGATAGCAAATGCCATACTGAGGTAGGCAAGGGATATTTCAAGGGAAGGGGAAAAGGCTATGAATCCCAGGATTATCATATTCTTTGGAGAAGAAATTTCCCAAACATCAATGGAATTTAGCTTTCTAGGCCTTCTTTTGGAGTCTGCCTTGGAGTGGTGCATTCTCTCACAGTCAGTGACTACATTTAGTGCAAAAGATAGGAATAGGATTAGCCTTATGCTTAAGTATAGTAGGCATACATATGCTATCATTTAAGGGGCATTAGAAAGGGTCTCCTGTTCCCAAACATCTCTATCTGTCTGCCATATTACTTGAAATTCCTCCATTACAGGGCCGTTCTATTGGGTTAAAATACATTTTCATTCCTGAAATCATTGCTTAGGATACAAATACCCTGGGAAAAGTAATTATGTTATTAGGTATTTAAAAACAGTATGTGAATTACTTAATTAAATGGTTTCTCTGTGTTTAAAATTTGGCACTACAGGAATGATAGCTGGATCAAATTTACAAGCTCATCTAATCTAACCCATTTATTTTACAGATGAGGAGTGTAGAATACGGAGGACAGATAAAAGAATTAAAAAGAGATTTGGGAGGTCATTTGAGAAAAAACTTTCCTTGTTTCATAATTTTGTCACGAACTGACCTAGGAAAAATTAGTGGGCCATTTTCCTTGATGTGACAAGTCTTGACTTCGACTGCCTGAGAACTACCTGTCCTGCTGTTTGAGGATCTTCAGTGGCACCCCATTTTTTTCTTGTTTTTTTCTTAACTCTGGTCAGCGGAATGATAGAGAGTTTCTCTGTGACTGGGGCAATCATTTTTCTATGTTGACTCTAATCCTAACTTCATTTCCTCGTATCACTTTCTTATACTTCCTCTGTAAACATTTCAGGAACTCTGATGTTAGGGTCCAAGTGCAATGTTCCATTATCTTTGATGGATAAATACGTGTTATAATAAATATTGTGATTTTTTTTCCCTTTTTTCTTTTGCTTGTAATTCTCTTCTCACTTTCATTCCTGAATGCCTTTGGGATGACTTATCTTAATATATATTTCTTTGATAAGCTTTCTTTATGTAAGGGCAAGGGTCATTAAGTCAATCAATCACCCTACCCCACCTCCCACCTCTGGCCCCATTTAAAGTGACTAACAAACATGCTTTAGCCCTGATGCCTTTATCAGGTGAAAACACCCCTATTCAATCAATACATAAATGAATGAGTCACATCGCCTAGGGACCAGACTGACTTGCCAGTGAGAGTGGGAACTGGGATAGTAGTCCTAGTACTTGTGCTACATTTAGACCCATTTTATTTGTCGCTGATTCTCTCTGCATTATGAAACAATACTATTTAGAATCATCTATCATCCTTCTTCATAAGATTTTGTAGACAAGTTTATATTCTAACCCAGCACTGTCTTTGGCAGACCTCTCCCTCCATTTAGTAAGTGAAGGGGGGGGGCAATGGGAATAAGCATTTATTAAGTACCTACTATGTGCCAAGCACTGTGCTAAGCACTTTATAAATATTATCTCATTTGATTTATCAAATGTCTTCTGATTGAGGCACTTTCTAGACTCTTGATTTCCTTGTAGCAATTATTATAGTTGGTGTTGATGTCATATACATTCACATTTCTGTTATATATTACAAGTATGCAACAGAAATATAAAGGTATGGATAAAGTTAATACAATTCTTAAAAGTAAATTATAAATAGCTTAGAGTTTATGATTTTATGTAGACTCTTAAATTTTTGTTTATTCATTGAATTTGTTTTGTAGATACCAGGTTTATAATTTAAATTATTTTTGAAAAAAGAAAGAAAGAAATGGTGTCCTAGTCCTTAACCAGATTTTCTCAAAATATAACTTACTGCTAAGAAATTGCTTGGGCACTGGGAGAAAGAAAGACCAATGATTTAGAAATACTCTGAAAACAAGGCTAAACGAGCCATCCAGTTACTCACCTGTTTGCTCCAAGTGAGTGATTTTCTACATTTGGTGAGTAATAAAGAAAGCCAATTTCACTTATCATTCTATTTGTGTATCTAGATATTGGAGGAGGGTAAGAAGGACTGGAGAAGGAACAGAGGAGAAACATTTGTGAGTGAGCATGATCCTCAAACTTATTGATTTGGGCCCTTTTTCAAATTATTAGACTTACTCAAGAGTTAGAGCCTCGACTTCTCTGGGGGATTTGTTCTGGGGCTGGTGGAAGTTGTGGGACTTTTGTTAAGCTTTCTGTTGTGATATTCTTTGGCAGGGAGAATTGTATTACTATCCAACGTCTATGACCACATGATACCTCCTTCACACATAACAATCTCCTCCAAATTTTAGTTTCTTCATCTATAAAATGAAAGGATAGGCTTAGATGATCTCAAAAGATAGGCCAAGTGATATAGTGTAGATGGCTTGCAGTAATCCATTGGCATAGCTAGAGACACTACTCATGGTGAGTCACAGAATCATAGATTTAGAGCTGGAAGGGATTCTGTAGATCATTTCCTCCAACACACTAATTTTACAGAGGATGAAACTGAGATCCACAGTGGGGAAGTTAATTGACCAAGTACACAAAGGAAGGAGAACTCAGGATCCCTGCCTTAAAATTCTGTGTTGTTTCCAGTATACCATGTCAATACTATCATCTCTATAAACCACGGGCAAACATATTGTTCCTTCACATGACTTCCTAATGAGGGGGTTAGCATGTCTGGCCCCAGGACCATATAGAGGCCTTTTATACTAATGGAACCCCATAAATGGTTATAAGTTGCATAAAAATATTAGTGGCAAAGGCTCGCAGCTCAGGTCTAGGGGTCCCCAAATGGAGCATTAGCTCTAAATGCCTCTGTATAGTCGTAGCTCTCCTTTGCTCAGCATTTCTTGATCAAATTTCATACCTCAATGGGAGAGGCAGGAATTCTAGTATCATACTCTCCCTATCTTATGGACTGGTTTGCCAAAATAAAAATAATGAAATTGCTTTTTTCTGAGGTTGTTAGAATAGAACTTTGGATAGCAGGTTCATTTGGCCTGCAGATATTTGGATCTTATGAACCCCATAAGATCACAGATTTAGAGATAAAAGCAGCCTTAGAGGACAACTGGTCCAATCCTCTCATTTTACGGATGAAGGAACTGAGGCCCAAAGAGATGAAATGATTTGCCCAAAGATATAGAGGTAATAAGCGTCAAAAATGGAATTTGAACCTAGGACTTCTCTGATTTTATAGGCTTTCCATTGTACCATATTTTAATGCCCATTGGCATTAAGAAACTATTTCTAAAGGCTAAGAAGATGTTTTTGCCAATCCAATGCATTGGAAAAGGTAGGTCTAGGAGGTAGAGAACACAGTGAGAGATCATGTGGTATAGTGAGAAGACCCACATTAGATTGTAAGCTCCTTGAGGGCAGGAACTAACTTTTACATCTTTTGGCATTTCCAGCACTTAGTACAGTGCCTGGCATATAGTTGTTGTTGTTGTTATTGTTCAGTCATTTCAGCTGTGTGCAACTCCTCGTGACTCATTTGGGGTTTTCTTGGCAAAGATATAGAAGTGATTTGCCACTTCTCCCACTCATTCTACAGATGAAGAACTGAGGCAAACAGGATTAAATGACTTGCCCAGGGTCACACAGCTAGCAACTGAGGCTGGATTTGAACTCAGAAAGATGAGTCTTCCTGACTCCAGGCCCAGTACTCTATTCACTTTACCACCTAGCTGCCCCTTGGCACATAACCCTAAATATTTATAGATTGAAAGCTTAGAAACCTGCTTTCTGGTTATAAATCTGACACTAATTAGCTATGAGATCTTGGGAACCTTTGAATTTTAGTTTCTTCATCTAAAAAATGAATGGATAGATCCAAATGATCTTTAAGATTTCCAAACTTGAAGTTTTACTAATCTATGGTTTTCTGAGTACTAAGTGAATCATCCATAAATATTGTGTTGGGAGTGTTCTTATCCCTGCCTCCCAAGCATTTGATAGTTCTTAAATAAGAGCCAGGAAGTCTATGCAAGACTTCATAAATTTTCAGCCACTCCTCTATCCTGGGAAGGAATATTTCACCATGTACTTTTTTTTTTAGGCAATTGTAGTTAAGTGACTTGCCTAGGGTCACACAGCTAGTAAGTATCAAGTGCTTGGTCTGAGTCTGAATATGAACTCAAGTTCTCCTGATTTCAGGGCTGGTGCTGTATCTACTGCACCACTTAGCTGCCCCCTCACCCTGCACTTTAAAGACAGTGTTTCCCTTTGCCCTCAAGAAAAATAGGTAGTATCTATTTGTTTTCTTTGCAGATAATCTAGGATTTTGGTTGCCCAAGATGGCTAGCCCCATCTAGAGGGGGCATGGTGAAAGCATGTGATGTATAGATAATGGGTTTAGTTGTAATGTCCATCTCAAGATCCTGGGAGACAGTATTTGAGTACTGGCTTTGTTCTCTCATCCAGAAGGTAGTAGCATCTTCCAGTATTCAGGCGGCAATTTGACTTAATGTTGATAAGTGACATTTCAAAATAGGCAGACTATATGCATCTGCTTTTTTTTTTTTAAACTTGATTGGCAGGGCCAGGGATGGAAGCTATTTGACTTCTTAGAGCCACTCTAGTAGAATTCTTGACTTCCTTCAAAGCTTAGCTCAAACACCACTTCCCATGTGAGCTGCTTGTCCATTCTCCCCACCCCCACCAACCTTTGGGAATTATTTGTATTTAGTTTTTATGTGCTGCCTATTATGTGTATATATCTCTTCCATTAGAATGGAAGCTTCTGGAAGGCAAACATTCTTTCACTTTTGTCTTTGTTTCTGTAGTGCTCAGCTCAGTGCCTGAGACACACAGGATGAGTAATAAATATTTGTTGATCGATTGTTAATTGCTTGATAAGTATAAAAGACACTGGCTATCAATAATATTAAGAAATTGAAGTCTGGAGAATTGAAGTACTCACACAAGAAGAACACTGAGGCAAAACAAGTCAGAGATGGGATTTGAACCCTGGTCCTCTTCTTCTAGAATCTTACAATAAACTTTTTACTAAGCCTGTCTTCTAGTGTTTCCCATGGCAATTGTGAGGACCACTTCCCTACCCCAAACCTTGGTTAATTCTGTTACTCAAAGGAGAAGAGGGGACCTCTTACCTCTTCACTTCCTGTCACTGTATAAGCATGATTATTCACTAGTCCCGACTGGTTGAAGTTGTTTGAAGACTTCAAGAGAAAAAAAAAGTAAGACAAAAGCAGTTACTCTCAGAACTGATTCGTTATACAGTTACACAAAGAGGGCAACATATAAGCATATACAGAGGGTCTCAAAAGTCTTAGCAGAGTTTAAGCATTTGTATCTTTGCTGGCAGGATCATTTCTGTTGATTAACAGCAGAACTGAACAAAACCGTACACATTTCTGGGACCTCTTTTACTACATAACTTCAGTGAATGATAAACTAGATACTTGCTTTCAAACACACTATGTTTCTTCAGTCAACATTGGTCCAGAAAATAGATGTTAAGTGCCTAATATGTGTCAATCACTCTGCTAGCTATCAAGAGGATACCAGCAGAAGTAAAACAAGGTCCTTTAACTTCAAGAAATTTATTATATAGTAGGGAATTTTTAAAAAAATATACAAAAATGACTGATGATGATGATGACGATGACAATGGCAATGATGATGATTAGGTATCCCTGGATCTCCCCACCCTGGAAGTGCAGTGACTAATGACAGGTTAAATCCCACTACTAACTGATACAAGAGCTCCAACCTGCTCCATTTCTGACCTGGACCAGTTTGCACCCATCTTAGGCAACCTGATCAGCTTAGCCACTGTGGCTTAGAATGTGTAGGTTTAAGAAATCATCCTCAGCTTTCATCGTAGCAGGGATTATAGGCATACACCACCACTCCCAGCACAAGTAAACGTTATATAACATAGCACATAATAAATATAAAAGAGAAATACAAAATTCTAGAAGAGAGAGACATGATCTCTGGCCAAGTGAGGTGTAAAGCAGGAAAGGCTTTGTGGAAAACATGGCATCTGAGCTAGGCTTTGAAACATGAAGACAATGTAAACAGGACCAGCCAGGTACTAGCCCTACTAGTTACTATTGAAGGGGGTAGAGGAAGGAAGAAGAGAGATTTTATAAAAATATGATACAGTGTGGGTAAAAGTGAAGAGGTGGGAAAGCACATGACATGTTCAAATAATGATAAGATTCAAAGGATCACAGAATTTCCCAGCTGAGAGATACTTCAGGGGACATCTTCTCCAACCACTACTGGAAAAAAATCACCACCACACCACACCCAAGAAATGGTCATCCAATCTTTACTTGTAGACTTCCAACAAGGAGGAATAGCTCCTGAGGTAGCTCATTATACTTTTAGGAAGTTTTCCCTGACATTAAGCCTAAATTTATATCTTCACAAGTTCTGCCCATTGCTTCTGGTTATGTGCTTTAGGATTAAACAGATCATATTGAATCCCTCTTCTGTAAGACAGGTTTTTAAGTACTTGAAGATAACTCTGATGTTCCTGCTGAGCTCTCCCTTCTTCAGATTAAATATCCCCAGCTGCCTCATAGAATCATTGAGTCTCAAGCATTGTTCAGGGCAGTGGTTCTCAAAGTGCAATCTGGGGACTCCTGGGGATTCCTAAGACTTTTTCAGAGGGTCTGTCAGAGCAAAACTATTTCCATAATAATACTAAAACATTTGAATGTTTAATATGGTAAATACTGTTATACATAATCCACATAAATGAAAACTCTTTGGGAGAGTCCTCAATAATTTTTAAGAGTATCAAGAGGTCCTCAGACCTTGAGAACCACTGGCCTGAAGAAGTTGATCTTCTAATTTTGGACAACCCAAACTGATTTCTTACTCAGAAATATTCCTAGAGTAGATAAGAGCAATTCATTCAGTTACTCTAGCTTGATTACAGTTCTCCCTGAAGAACATCTATGTCTCTTTGCTCTAATTCTATTCTCATAAAGCAATCATCTCATTTCATAATTTAGTTGCTGGTGTATCTATTCAGAGTAGGTGTCCTGTGTAGATGATAGGTGCTGGTTGTTATATCACTATCAACTAATAAATTGACATTCTAGTTTATCAAAAAGAATCTTATTGAGTTTGATTAGCAAAAGCTGCTTCCCCAGAGTCTGGTCTTTGGCGAACTGATAAAATGGCATTTTTGAAACTGAAAATCCTAGGTCCAACCTCTGAACTCTTAGGTGATCTCACCAAGAGTAGTCCAGTTTGGCTGGAACTAAGGGGGCGTGAGAAGGAGGAGGGAGAGATGAATCTACAAATACAGTGTGTGGCCAGAGAATAAAGCAATTTGAATGCCAAGGTAATATCTTTTACTTTATTCTATAGGTAGCTTTGGATGGGTTTTCATCACAGAAGTGATGTGATAAGAGCTATGCATTAAGAGATTAACTCCCAATACTGTGCAGTGGCAGTGACTAGAGGGGCAAGCAACTGGAGCAGTGACACCAGTTAGGAGGCTGTCATAATCATTTTTGGACTGGTTCTGAGATTGCCTTGGGATATCCTGGTTAAAAGGATAATAGATCTAGAGAAGGAAAGGAGCTCTAAGGCCATGTAAGCTAACCCTCCCATTTTATAGGTGAGTAAACAGAGATCCAGAGTGGTTAAGAGAGTAAGTGGCAGAGGTCAGGTTTGAACTCAGGTCCTCTGACTTAAGAATCAGTATTCATTCCATTATGTCATACTGTGAAGGTTCTTTTGGAGAGGGAAATAAAGGCCTCTAACAGTCTAGTACTTTGACGTTAGGAAGACAGGACAATGAGGCTCAGCATAACAGTTGGTCAACATGGCACAACCCCACCTGGTACTTACAGCTGCAATCCCACATGTTATTAGTGAGCCAGATTGCTCAGCCGCTTTCAAATTCTTGAACAGATTGAGATGGACTTCCTGAAGATTGACTTTTGTAACCACCCATCCTGTCAGTTCCACCAATGAGTCAGCCATGATGCCATAATGCAACTGGAAGTAGGAGCCATGGAGTCTGTCAATGGGAAACTGGAATTAACCTCATCAGTTCAGAAAAGAAACTTAATGAATTGACTCTTATTAGCATTATTCTATTAGGAGATATGAACACAGATGAGAGTATACAAAGTAATCTCAAAATGGAAAGAGTACTTATAATAACAGATATAGGGGATTGGGAAAGGCATCCTGTAGAAGTTATCTTTTCAAGGAAGATGCATATGTATATATATATATATGTGTATATATATATGTATGTATGTATGTATGTATGTATATGAAATGAGGGAGGTGAGAAATAAGTGCATTCTAAGCATAGGATTTTTGAGTAGCGGAATAATATAGTCAGATATGTGTTTTAGGAATATCATGTTGGCAATTTGTGTGGCAGACAGTTTAGAGGGGGGGGATATTTCAATAGACCAGGGAGGAAGTGAAGATGGGAGGCTGTGTGAGTAAAGGGAAAGAGATAGATGTGAGATATTGTGCAAGCTAAATCAGCAAGACTTGGCAAATGATGGGGTATGGAAGATTATAGAAAGAAAAAAAAGATCATTTCAAAGTTATTGACAAAAGTGACTAGAAGAAAGATGACATTCTCCTCAAAAGAAATACGGAAGTTTGGAGGAAGAGAGGGCTTAAGGAAACTATCATGAGTTCTGTTTTGGACAAGTTGAGGTTGAGATGTATCTGGGGTATCTTGGGGGAGGTTCCTAGCAGGAAGTTAGTGATTCAGGGATGTATGAAAGTGTTCAGGAGAGAGATTAAGGCTAAAAATGTCAATTTGGGAATCATCTGCATCAGAATGATCATTGAACTCAAAGGAACCAATGAAATCACCAAGGAATAGAGTGTAGAAAGAAAAGACCTAAGACAGATCCTTGGAGGTTACCCACATTTAGTGGGAAGGAGTAGGACAATAATTGAGCAAAGGTATCTCCGAAGAACAGTCAGACAGGTGGGAGAATTGGTCCAGAATAATGCTGTAGAAGTCACAGGTGGAGAGAGTAGCACTTAAGTGAATTTGTTGTGAAACTTTGATCAAATCATTTCACCTCTATGGACCTCAGTTTCCCTGCCTATAAAAGACAGGATTAGATTAACTGAGCTCTATGAAGCCTCTGACTTGATTGATCATCATCTCTTCCTTAATACTTTTTCTTCTCTAGGTTTTTGTGGCACTGTTTTGTCCTGGTTCTCCTCCTCTCTGGTGAATTGTTTTCAGATGGATCTTCAGCTAGATGAACTGTTCTCTTTGATGGATCTTCAGCTAGGTCCACTAATTTGGAATGTCACCTGAGACTGTCCTGGCTCTTCTTCTCTTTTCTGTTTATACTATATTATCTGGTGATCTCATTGGCTCCCATGGATTCAATCATCATTTTTATGAAGATAATTCCCAGATCTATATATTTGACATCTGTCTATCCATCTATCCATCCATCCATCTGTCCATCCATCCATCCATCCATCCAGCTATCTATTTATCTATCCATCCATCTATATTTTCTGAACAACAGTCCCATATCACCAATTGCCTCTTGGACATCTTGAACTGGGTATCCTGTGGACATTTGAAATTCAACATATCCAAAATAGAACTCATTATCTTTCAGTCGAAAGCCTCCTCTCTACTTGGATTCTTCATTACTGTCGAGGGTACCACCACCTTCCTAGTCACCCAGGTTCACTCAGTTTCATCCTCCATTTCTCACTGGCAGTCCACTGGCAGTCCACTGGCAGTCCCACATATGCAGTCCACTTTAAAATCTTATCATTCTAACTTTCACACCATCTTTCATATGTGTCTTCACTTACATAGTTATCTTTGTATGGGCTCTTATCACCTCTCTCTCAGTTGCCTCCTAATTGGTCTCTTTGCCTCAAGTCTCTTCCCACTCCAGATCATCCTCCACCCAACTGCCAAAGTGATTTACCAATAGTGCAGGTCTAACAATGTTGCCCCCCTCCTCAATAAATTCCAATATTTCCCTGTTACCTTCAGTATCAAAAGTTCTCTTATTGATATTCAAAGCTCTTCACAACTTGAAGCCTTCATCATCTTTCTGGTCTTCCTACTTGTCGCTTCCTCCCTGCACCCTCCACAACTCCATTCCCTACAATGAAGTTACACTGGTGTACATGCTTTTCCTGTGACAACACTCTATGTCCCAACTCTTTGCCTGTGTATTGGCTTTTCTCCATGCATGATTGCACTTCTTCCTTCTTTCCACCTCATAGCTTCTTGATTTGCCTTCAAGACTCAGTTCAAATCCCACCATCTTTACTAGCCTCCCACCCCCCTTCCCTCTAAGATTCCCTCCCATTTCCATTATATAGTTTGTATTTTATACTTGTTGATCTGTTGTTTCCCTCCTTAGAATGTTGGGCAGGGACTGCATTTTTACCTTTCTTTGTATTCCCTGCATTTAGCACAGTGCCTAGCACATATAAATGCTCAGTAAATGCTTGCCAGCTGATTGATCTATCAGTCCTTTCTACTGTAACTGTCTCTGAGTCTTTGCCTGTCAATGACCTATTCTTATTTCTGCAACATGGAGACTGCATAGGAAGCTGGTCATGGTTCTTAAGTTCTAGGCTGAGGCTTTCGTATTTTATTCTAGAAGCAAAAAGGAGGTAAGCTCAAACCCAGGTTTCTTGATGCCCATTCCATAACTTTTGCAATATCACTACTTTGAGAAAAAGAAAGCAGAGACGGGCCACATTTGGGCAAGTTTTTAGGGTTGAGATGTTAGGTCCTAGGGCTCATTGTCTTATCCCATTTCAGAATCAAGGATTACTTTTCTAAGTCAATCAATTCAGTGATCAAAAGGGGTTAAAAGTCATCAGGCTAATTCTCATTCCTTTTGGAGAACATCAGTGTTCCCATAAATCTCTCAGAAGGGAATTATCTTCCCTAACCACTGGATTCAATAACTGTTGTTATTACCTGGGCATAGGTCTCAAATTCCAATGAACAACTCATTCTGACATATCTCCTTGACAAAATTCTTAGACATTTATCACTGGCTGGTTTAAAGAACAGTTAAAAACAAACTTTCTGGGAGAGCAATCCCTGTTACCCAGGGAGGCTGAAACTGGTGAATGACTTGAATTCTGAAATACAAGAAGGAGGGCTAAAGTCAGGTGTCCACTCTAAGTCTGGCACCAATATTATGAGCCCCTAGGAAGGTATGGAGATAGTGTTGAGAGTGGAAGTGGACCATCAAGTTACCTAAAAAGGGGCAAACTAGTTTAAGTTGGAAACATAATAGTTAAAAGTTTCCAGTTGAATCAAGAACAGGACCGAGCCATGAGTGGTCACTGTATTTCCAGCTCGGGTTGAGAAAGAGAGATCCCCCACCACTAAATAAATAAGCAAATAAATGAATGAGGGAATGAACAAATAACTGAATGAATAGATAAATGAATGGATAAGTAAACAAATAAATACTTAAAAGCAGTCACTTCAGAGGCTCAGAAGTGAGTTTGGGGTCTGATAAAGCAATGTCTTACCAGCTCCTCACCGTGATATTATACAATGTGGCATATGGTTAGTGCTAGATCTGGAGACAAGAAGTACTGGGTTCAGGTTCTGACTTTGACCCTTATTAGCTCTGTGGCTATGAATAAAATAGGGTGATAAGTGAATTGTAAACATAGAAAAGTTGTTCCATGAACACCTGCTGGGCATGGAAGCTCAGTCCTTCTGATGCCAAAGAGCATTCTGCAGCTGATACAGTCAGAAAATCCACCCTTTTCAGTGCCTGATTCTCTCCCTCCCCCAAGGCATGTCCTACAGACCACAGGTTTGCCTAAGGATTAATGAAGTCAGGCATATCACAAGTGGTGCAGCTGGGTAAGCATATTCATCCAGGAAAGTGGAGAGAAGAGGAGGGCTGGAAATTCCAGAAAGTGCTTACTTGGCATAAGCTTTCTCAAGCAAACAGGGCCAAAATTGGTTGCTCCCTCCACGGGGATAAACAAACAGGTATTTTCTACTGATGGAGCTCACAGGGAGACGGTCATCCACCACCACGTCCACCCATTGTCCACATTGCCAAAACTGAAAGAGAAAAGAGGGAATTCCAAATCAGAATGACCCCAATTTATATTAAGCCCTGGTTCAAATGAGAGAATAATTGTGAAGCCTTTAGCACAATGCCTGGCACATTGTAAGTACTGTGTAAATGTTAGTTACCAGTGCTGCTGCTGCTCCTACTCCAACAACACTTGCTAGCTGTGTGTGACTTTGGCCAGGTCCTGTCACCTCTCTAAGCCCCGGGTCAATATACTCCCACCAACAGCTTGTTTTTTATTCCAATAAACTAAGAATGTTTTTTTTTTTTACATTTAAAAAACAAACAAACAAACAAACAAAAAACTATGATCTTCAAGCCAAATCTGGCGAACTGCCTGTTTTTATAAGGCCCACATTCTCCCCTCCCCCCAAATTATTTGTTTTTAACATTCTTTTAAAAGTTTTCTTGAGTTTCAAATTCTCTTCCTCCCTCCGGCCCCTCCCTCATCCATTGAGAAGGCAAGCAATATGATATTAATTATACATGCAAAATCATATAAAATATATTTCCATATTAAGCTTGTTGCAATTTTTAAAAAGCAAAAAAAAATAAAGTAAAAAATAATTATACTTCAATTAAATCTCAAGAGTTTATCAGTTCTCTCTCTGGAGGTAGATAATGTATTTCACCAGGAATCCTTCAGAATTACCTTGGATCACTGTATCTATCAGAGTAGTCAGTTCTTTCATAGTTGATCATCATTATAATACTGTTGTTACTATATACAATACTCTCCTGGTTCTGCTCACTTCACTCTGCATCAATTAACATAGGTTCCCAGGTTTTTCTGAAGCCATCCCCTTTCTCATTTCTTATAGCACAATAATAATCCATCACAATTATATATCACAACTTGTTCAGCTATTCTCTAATTGATGGACATCCCCTAAATTTCCAATTCTTTGATACCACAAAAAAGAACTGCTATAAATATTTTTGTACAAATAGGTCCTTTTCCATTTTCTTTGACCTCTTTGGGATATAGACCTAGTAGTGGTATTGCTGGGTCAAAGAATATTCACAATTTTATAGCCTTTTGGGCATAATGCCAAATTGTTCCCCAAGATGATTGGATCTGTTCACCACTCCACCAACAAAGCATTCGTGTCTCTACTTTTCCACATCCCTTCCAGCATTTATCATTCTCCTTTTTGTCATCTTAGCCAATCTGATAGGTGTGAAGTGGTACCTCAGAGCTGTTTTAATTCACATTCTTTAACCAATAATAATTTAGAGCATTTTTTCATATGATAACAGACTGCTTTGATTTCTTCTTCTGGAAACTGCCTGCTCATATCCTTTGACCATTTATCAATTGGGAAATAGTTAATATTTTTATAAATTTGACTCAATTCCCTATATAATTGAGAAATGAGACCTTTATTGGAGAAGTTTGCTGGAAAAATTATTTTCCAATTTCCTGCTTTCCTTCTAATTTTTTTCTGCATTAATTTTATTTGTTTGCAACATCTTTTTAATTTCATGTAATCAAAATTATCCAATATGCTTCCTGTAATCTCCTCCATCTCTTGTTTGGTCATAAAATTCTTCCCTCATCCATAGATCTGACAGGTAAAATTTTCCATGTTGCCCTAATTTGCTTATCATGTCACCCTTTATGTCTAAATCATGTATCCATTTTGACCTTACCCTGAATACAGTGTGAGATGTTGGTCTATGCCCAGTTTCTGTATGGCCCACACTCTTAGCTCTGTGGTAGGACATAGTTTACTGATCCCTACATTCAAAGCCCTGGTTTCCTCATGTTTAAAATAGCTAACAGAAAGTTTGCACAATCCGTCAATCAACAACATTTATTAAGCATTTACTCTGTGTCAGGTACTATGCTAGTCATCAGAAATACAAAGAAAGGAGGCAAACAGTCCCTTTCCTCAAGGATACATGTGCATGTATATTGTAACTTCATTATTCAGATTTTCTCTGAAGTTATGGGACCCAGAAGTCCTGGTAGACTTCTGGAAGTCATAATACAAGGACAGAGTGAGTTTCCTGCCAACCCTTCCCCTTGCCCTGCAAACACATACACAAGAGGAAGAACCTAGGTTCCAGAGGGAGGACACTGACCTAAAGGGACTGAGAACAAAATTCAGGACTTCAGTTCTGGAGAGAAGTAAGTACAGAGTCATCATGCTGGCAGTGAGGAGGGAGAAAGAAAAACCTCTATAGCATTTTGTGATGAGCATTCAAAGACTAGAGGCTGGGTGTTACAGGCTTGGCTCCTACTGCCACAGCCTCTGCTTATTAGAGGGAGAATAAAACCACCTCTGATGGATTTAGCTGGAATGTCCAGAAGCTACTGGTTATTGTCACTTTTGGAGATATATGAAAGGATAGTAAAGTTTTAACTCCCCTTTCCTTTTCTTTTTGGCTGCAGCTGGTAGGCATATTCTACAAAATTTTTCTATTTCTTTAAATTGCTTCTAATTCCTGATTTTGTTCAATAATGGTCACAAACAGTGTGATTCACATCTTTTTGTTATTTTTCTACAGGAGGATTGCAATGGAGGAAGTCAGTGAATAGCTTGGAATATACAGAATTAAAGAAAATAGTGGTCCAAAATGTTAGGTGTTTTTTTTTCTTTTCTTATTTAAGGGCTGAGCTGAAAGAGAGAATCTTATGGCTTGATTTTATTAATAATTCATATAAGCTTTTCCCACCCCAGGCCAGCCATTTCTTCACTTCCCACCTGGTTACACTGCATTTCTCAATTATGCCTGGGCCATGTACCTTCCCTTTCCATTCCTCATTCCCAACCCCTTTCACCTTCTTTGCTACTGTTATCTTCCCCTATTTAATTGTAAGTTCCTTGAGTGCAGGATCTTGTCTTTCTTTTTTGATTTAGTTTCCCCAAGCGTTTATTACAGTATCTGGCAAATAGCAGGTGCTTAATAAATGTTTAAGTTCCTAAATAACAGAAAAAGACACATCATATGACTCAGAACCTTTTATCCCTAGGCTACAGAGCCAGGAATAAGCAAGATTCAGGTGCCACATAGTACTAATATTTCAGTGAAGCTTCTAGCCTATAGAATGAAGGTCAGAGTAGGAGAGGACCAAGAAGAAATCACGCAACTTGAGCTACTCATTGAGAAGAGAGAGGTGTCAGAAGGATAGGAAGAGTGGTCATGCCCAGGAGCTGGTGAAATTCCGAAAGTGGAAGGAAAAGAAGAGAGCACATATGGCTGCATTTAGATTTTCTTCACAGTCAAAACCTGCCTCGTAGTAGTCTTCTGGTTACAAAGGTATATGCAAAATAGATACAAAATACATAAAAGGTGATTTTTAGAGGGACGCATTAGCTGTCTGGAGAAGCAGGAAAAACTTAGCTTAGAAAATGATACTGGAGCTGAGCCTTGAAAGAAATTAAGGATTCTAAAAGGTCACAGAGGAAAGTAATAGATCCTAGGAATTAAGGACAGCCCCCACAAACCTGACAGGGTTGGTGTAAAGAAAGTGCTTTAAGGCAGTTAGGTGGACTAATGTATAAAGTGCATGATTTAGAGTCAGGAGGACTTGAATTTGAATTCTGCCTTAGACCCTTGCTAGCTATGATCCTGGGCAAGTCACTTAACCTCTTTCAGACTCAGTTTCCTCATCTGCAAAATGGGACTAACAATAATACCTTCTTCACAAGGATCTAATAAGATAATATAAATAAAGCACTTTGCAATCCCTGAAGCCCTATATAAATGTTAGCTATTATTGTCACTACTGCTAACATACTTTAAAGTGACATAAAAATGTGAATAGTTAGGGACAGTAAGGTGATGCAGTGGACAGAGCACTCTGCCTGGAATCTGAACAGAGACCTGAGTTCAAATCTGGCTTCACACACTTACTAGCTATGTGACACTAGAAAAATCACTTAACCTCTATTTGCCTCAGTTTCCTCATCTGTAGAATGGGTATACTAGTAGCACCTTTCTCCCAGGGTTTTTGTGAGGACCAAGAGAGATAATATTTGAAAAAGTGCTTAGCACAGTATCTGACATATGGTAAGCACTATATGTTATCTATTATTATTATTATCATGATGATGATATAGATATAAAGTGATTTCACATTTATTAGCTCACTTAGGATCAAGTAGTATAGAGCTGAAAGGGACTTTTTAGATCATCTGGTCAAATATCTTTATGCTACAGATGAGAAAACTGAAACCCAGTGAAGGGAAATGACTTGTCTAAAGTCACGTGGTAATTAAGTAGCAGAGCCCGTATTTTTTTAAAATTAGCCCTTTATGCACTTTTGTGTAATTCCTAATGATTTCTGAAAATGCTACCTCTTCCTACCCTATCTGCCTAAAGAACTTTGCCCTGTGGCAAAGAAAAACAAATAACAATGTTAGGCAAAACAAACTATACAGTGACTACATAGGAAACAGGTGATGTGCTACACCCATCTTTCCCCATCTCTCTAAGGAAAGAGAGTTCATAAGATTGTAGATTTCAAGGTAGAAGGTATATTAGGGATCATCTGATTCTACCCCTCCATTTTACATATAAAGAAACAAAGTCCCAAGAGGTTGTCACTTGTCCAAGGTAGGAATTGGCAAAACCATGATTTGAACCCAGATATTCTCACATCTATGGGCAGGTAGGTGGTTCAGGGGACAGAATGTCAGCCCTGGAGTAAGGAGCATTTGAGTTCAAATCCAGCTTCTGACACTTGCTAGCTGTGTGACCCTGGGCAAGTCACTTAACCCTGTTTGCCTCAGTTCTTCATCTATAAAATGGGCTGGAGAAGAAAATGGCAAACCACTCCAGCATGTTTGCTGAAAAAATCACAAGTAGGATCCCAAAAGCTGGACATGACTAGTTTATTAAATGACAGTAACAAATTCTCACTCCTAATTTAGCATTCCCTCTACTCTATAGAGAGGCTCTTGCCTCTCATTCTCATCTCTTTTCTGGTACTAAGTTTGGTGGCTGCAATTGTACAACATTCTGTCTAATTTTCTAATTCTTTTTGTTTATATTGCTGTAAGCATTGAATATATAAGTCCTCTGCTTCTTCTTGCCTCATTCTGTATCAGGTCATACAAATCTTCCCATGTTTCTTAGAATTCCTCTTTATCTTCTCTTACATGCAGTGACATTACATTATGTTCTTGAATACCGTAATTTGTTCAGTCATTCCCCAAGTGATGGGCATGCTCTTTGTTTAGTTTCTTGCAAAAATGGAATTTGAACCCAGGTCCTCTGACTTCAGGCCCAGTGTTTTATCCATCATACTACAATGCCTCACAACAACTCTTTGAGGGAGATAGTTTCCCCATTTTTCCAGAGGAAACTGAAACTCGGGGAAATTAAGCAAATGTCCCAAGGTCGTATAGCCAGTAAATAACAACAAAATAATAATAATAATAATAATAGCTAACCTTTATATAATGCTTTAAGATTTATAAAGCACTTGACAAATATTATCTCACAACAGTCCTGGGAGGAGGTCAGTTCTATTATCCCTATTTTATAAATAAAGAAACTGAGGCAGACAGAGATGAAAGTGACTTGTCCAAACTAGTAAGTGTCTGAGGCTGGATTTGAATTCAGGTCTTCCTAACTCCAGGCCTAGCCCTCTATCCACAATGCCACCTAGCTACCTCATTAAGCCTAGCAGACTTAATCAGAGAATGAGTAAGTAGGATGTCCTAGCCAAAACCTTAACGTGATCTTAGGCTGCATTGATAGAAGTTTAGTGTCTCAAACTAGGAATGTTATAGTCCTGCTGTACTTCGTAAACATGTTGGGATTCTTGTGTTCAAATGTGAACACCACATTTTGAGAAGGAAACTGAGAGTGCTGGATCATATTCAGAGAAGGGCAAGAGCCAGGAAACCTCAATACAAGACGAGGTTGAAGGAACTGAGAATGTTTTACCTGGAAAAAAGTAGACTAAGGGAAGGAATGTGATAGCAGTCTTGAATTTTTTAAAAGACACTCATGTGGAAAACAGATTAACTGTAATCTGCTTTGCCCGTAAAGGACAGAAATAGGACCGATGAGTAGGAGGGTTATTTTGGGTCCTAACCTGCGATTCCATCGGCATGGTGGAACTCTCAGTAGGGAAACTCCTTTTGCCACGCATATTAACAACTCATCTATGTATAACTTACAGTCTTAGAAAATGGCCCGGGGGCACTAAGGGGTTGGGTGAAGTTTCCATGGTTAGATAGATACCCAATCTCTATAAAAGGCAGGATTTGAACCCAGTTCTGCCTCCCTCCAATGCCATGATGCCAACTTGCTTTTCGGGCAAATGCAGCGGGAAGGCAAAGTTTGTGCCAATATAAAGAAACACTTCCTGACAAAGAGAACTGTCTAAAATGGAAATAGTTGATTCAGGAAAAAGCTGATCCCCTGTCCCTGAAGATCCTGGAGCGTACACTGAACGACTGTTTGACTGGTGTGGGAGATAGGATTCCTATTTCAGGCAGGAGTGGGGCTCAGTTGTCTCTGATTCTAATTCTAATTCAGGGATTTTATAATTCTAAATGAGCTTCCCAGGGTCACATAGTAAGTCAGTCAGTAGTGAAGCCAAGAATGGAACACAGATCTCCTTTGTCTTAGTTAATAATAACTCACATTTCTACAACTTCATAAGGTGTTTTCCCTAATGTAAGTAGGTGATGCCAGTATAATTTTAGGTGTATGAATATAATAATTCTGTATGAGAAAGCCCAGAGAGTTAAAGCAACTTTTTGAAAGTCACACAGCTAGCAGGCAACAGATTTGGAATGTGAACCAGTTTTTGACTTTGACTCTGAATCCCTCCACTTCCCACTGTCCCCCATGTTAACTCCCTGCTCTACCACACCGCTCTTCTTCAGCAAACAGGGACAGACTCAATGACAAATTCATCTGTCAGGGACAACGAAAACCAGGCTAGCATCTTTATCTCAACGTCTCAGAGAAACTTCTCAAAACCTTTCTGCATGCCTTTGCCTGCGTATCAGGAGCAGCTGCAGACATTATTAAATGTGTGTCTTCTGCAGGGCACTATGCTGAGCTCTGAGACTATAAGGGAAGGAAATGAACATTTATGAAGGCCTACAATGTGCCAGGAGGCAGCTAGGGGGCTCAGTGGATAGAGCACTGGGCCTGAAGTCAGGAAGACCTGAGTTTAAATCCAGTCTCAAACACTCACTAGCTGTGACTCTGGGCAAGTCACTTAACTTCTTCTTGTCTTAATCCACCAGAGAGGGAAATAGCAAACCATTACAGCATCTTCGCCAAGAAAATCCCATGGACAGTACTGGTGTGCTGTGGTCACAAAGAGTCAGATGCAACTGAATCACTGGACAACAGCAATGTGCTAGGAGCTGTGTTAAGTACTTCATAGATATTATCTTATCTAGTCCTCACAAAAAACCTGAGAAAGTACTATTATTCTCTCCATTTTACAGTTTAGGAAACCAAGGCAGACAGCGGTTAAGTGACTTGTCCAGAGTCACATAGCTAAAAAGGATATATTTTCCTTAGACTTTGGGTTTGGTGTCATGGAAAGAGAAGTCAGAGGACCTGGGTTTGAATGCTAATTCTCTGTGTGACATTGGGCAAGTCACTTCTCCCTTTCTAGGCCTCTGTTTCCTTATTTGCAAAATGAAGGAGTTGCTCTAGCTGGCCTCTGAGCTTGGCTCATGAATCTCAATTCCAGGTTGAATGGGCTCAGATCCATTAATGGGGAGGGCATGCAGACAAAGTGAGGTGGTGGGGGAAGCGCATCTGCTAGCCATCATCTGTTTATAAATGAAGTGGAACCCTTACTAGGACTGTCTGGACAGCTGGAGGTCACAGATGTTCTCCTGGCAGATCAAGCTGAGGAAGCGCTCTGAGAACACAGAGGGAGAGGTTGGGACATCAGCAGAGACAGCACAAAGAAGATGTTTTCACGGTGATTAGTAAAGCAATGTAGTGAGGCATCATTCTGGCTCCAAAACATGACTGAGGCATTTTTCTAGCAGTAAGTAAGACATGTGGGGAAGAGGGCTCCAGATGGGGACTGGGTTGGAAGGCAAGAGAAGCATCATTAGTACTATGAGTGTAAGCACAGAGGAAACATCGAGGATGCCATCATGTATCCCGGGAGATGGTGGGGTTGTAAGGGAGGTATATTGTGCAGTGAAAAAAAAAAAATAAAACACTGAATCTTAGTCAGGAGGCTTGGATTCAAATCCCAGCCCTTCCACTAACTAGCTGTGTGACCTTGGCTAAGTCCTATCCCCTGTGAAGGGCCCTAGTTACTTCATCTGTAACATGCAGAGGTGAGACATCAATATCCCTTCTACCAATGTCCTACAGGTTCTTCCTCATTAATAATCAATCAATCAACAGCACTTATTAGTGCCTATAGACTTGGATCATGAGATTTATACTTAGAAGGGACCTCAAAAATCCTCCTGATCCAACCAACTCATTTCACAAATGAGGAAACTGAGGCTCAGAGAGGGAAAATGGCTTCACAAGACCACTGCATTTCAGTGGTGGAAGGGGCCCAAGAAGTTACCTAGTCTACTCCATCCTAGATCCTGTTTTTTTCCTTTTCTTGTATCCTTAATCCTTGTAAGGTACAGCGCTTAATAAATGCTGGTTGACTGACTGACTACTACATACCCGATATCGGTTCACTAGGATTTATCTTTGTCTGAAGAACTTCAGGAAAGGAATGCCTACTACTTCTGAAGAAGGGAGTAAGTGTCGTTCAAAACTCATTTCTTCCTGACTCCAAGTCAAACACTGTATCCACTGTGCCACCTACCCATCACATCATGTCACATCATGGATACCTTTAAACCCCCTGTTTTTTTTCCAATGACCTTCTTATAAGACAAGCAGAAGGACGTATATACCTGGAAATGGAAAATCCCTGCATATCCTTGTGCAAAGCTTTGGTTTGTTGGTATGATCTTTGCCAGAAGTTCAGGTTTGTGGGTTAAAGAGCCTAGGGCTGCTAGAAACCAGCAGTCACCTGTCAAAAGACAAAAAAAAATTACTCATCAAATCTAATCTCAAGGGTAAGAAGGCACCTCAGAGGTCACCTACTCCAACCTGTACCCGACCAGGAATTCCCTTGAGAACATCCCCAACAAGTAACCATCCAGCCTCTCTCAGAGAGTTCCCAGTGATGATGGGGACCTCCTCATTTCTTAAAAAGCCCATTCCATTCCTGAATAGCTTCGTTGACCAGGAAGTCTCTCCCCACACTGTTCCAACTGAAGCAACACTGTGTCATAGGAACTCTGCACCATGAATTTTTTATTACTTCCTCCCAGAATTACAGGACCTAAAACTAGGAAGGACTTTAGAGATCATGTCATCCAATTCCCTCAGTTTACAGACAAGGAAATGGGAACTCAGAAAGGTTGATTGAGTTCACCAAGGCCATGTAGGTAGTATGTGGCAGGACCAGAATTAAAACTGAGGTGTTATGACTGCAAATCCAGTGCTCTTCCTAGTGGACTACACCGTCTCTTACAGCACACTGCCTCTTTCAACACAAATGATTCATGATCCTTTATTTCCTTTCTGACTGTATGCCCAGATGAATTTTGGGATGGGTTTTTATTGTCCATGTCTAGGAGAAATAGACAAAAGGGTGATGGTTGGGCAGATTCATCCCCCAAGAAGGGGTAAGAGGGTCATATCATTTCCAGAGAGTGGACATATCTGTCATAGCTCAAAGAACTTCTATTTATTGCATTAGCTTAAAATGCAGATGAACCTTTGGTGGTATCAATCAAACAATTGATCAATAAAAAATATTAAATGCCTACTCTGTAGTGAATTTCAGAACCATGTAAAATACAAAGCTATATCCTCTTCTGCTATTGGAAAGGGTCTTTTGTGACACTCTGATTCCTCTTTTATGAAGCTGCTATAATTCTAGGGACACTAGCTTCCCTGACACTCCAGTCCCCATGGGACTCCCCAATTTGGTGTTTTTCCTAGGTCTGCTCTTCCCAAGGATCAACTTATGCTCCTAATTTGTCTTTTAATACATTTTTATTGATGCCCTTTGTTTCTACATTGCCTAAATTCCCTCTTAACAAATTCTTCTTAATACCTAGCTATGCAAGTGATCTAGGATTTTAGTAGTATAAAAGAACAGCCATTGTGTGAACTTCCTCTTCCAAAAGACCTTTTTAAAACTAATTTTTTAATGAACAAAAACTCATTTTCTCTTCCTCCTAATACCCCCCTTCCTTGAAAAAAGAAAAAGAAAATCCTTGTAACAAATACGTGTAGTCAAGCAAAACAAAGTCCTTTATTGGATATGTCCAAAAATACAGTCTCACTGAACTCTACCCTGGTCAGAGCACATCTGAAGTGTTGTGCTCAGTTCTAGGTATCTCAATTATGATGAATATTGATAAATTGCTGAAAATCGAGAGGAAGGCAACTAGGGTGGTAAAAGGTACTATGATGATCAGTTGAGAAATTTTAGGATATCTATTCTGGAGGAGAGAAGGCTGAGGAAGAACATGATAGCTGTCTTTAAGTATCTGAAGAGTTATTGTGAGAAAAAGAGATCCAACGATTTACAAAGAGGCTTTTTCACTCACTACTCATGTGCATTTGGACTGTTTGATGTCGGGAAATACTTTCCAACAATGGAAGCTATCAAAAAATGGAAGCTCTGAGGATACAAAGAAAGGCCCTGCCCTCAGGGATTATACATTTTAGTGGGGGAAGACAACATATAAATAACTTGTGCACACAAGATATATAGAGTAGATGGAAAGCAGCCTTAGGGGGAAGGCATTAGCACCTGGGATGATGAAAAAAGGCTTCCTGAAGAAGGTGAGATTGAAGCCAAGACTTGAGGGAATCCAGGGAAGAAACAAAGAGGAGGAGAGAGAACATCTTGAACATGGAAGGCATGACAACCAGTGCAAAGACATAGAGATCAGAGGTCCATTGCTGTGCTCAAGGCATAGCAAGTAGGCCAGCATAGCTGGATCGTAGTGTGTGGAAGGGAGTAAAGTATAAGAAGGCTAGAAAGGCAAGAATGGGCCAGGTTGAGAAGAGCTTTAGTGCTACAAAAGTCAATAATTAAATCTGGAGCACTCATTTCTGGAGGGCAGACTTTGGCCTAAATTATCTCAAGAGTCTTCTGGCTTGAAATCTTTGTTCCTAATGATCCTTTACTCTCTTGAGTCACTTCTAGGTCTAACATTGGAGGTTGGGATACTTTAGTCAGGGTGTTGGTTTGGGAAGAAAACCCCACCAATCCATCCTCGTTAGTGGGTCTAGGTTGTGTGGCTATGGCTTCGGACTCCCTGCCTGGGAAGGAAAATGCCATGATCTTACCTGCTTCTCCTTGCTGAATATCAAATTTGCTGATACCATCCAGAATAAAGTGAGGGGAACTGGTCCCTGATAATTCCTTAGAAAGAGAAAAAGAAAAGCCTTGACCATGATGCTTTCCTACCATTATGACCTGGTGAGATGTTTTCAAGGGTCTAAAGTTGTTCTTAACTAGGTGTTTAAAAACTCATTTGAAAAGTTTTAGCTTAGTCTTAAGATTTTTGCCTTTAATCAATGAATCCATTAACATTTTTTAAGTGCCTACTATGTTCCAGGCACTGTGCTAAGGACTAGGGATACAAAAAGAGCTCTAACAAATGCCAATTAGTTAGCAGCAATTACTGAGCAGACTGGCAACTCATCAGAAACACAAAGAATCTGCATCCTTATGTAGTAGCTTAAACAAAATGGTTGCTTTTTATAGATAACAAAACTGGGCAAGTACAATACAAACTAAATGACATTTATTAGAAAAAATTTATGAAAATTAATAGGAATAAGACATTTAAATTCAACAAGTATTAAGGCCTCCCATTGATGAAGCACTGTGAAAGGTACTGGATATATGAACATGAATAATTATACTATCCTCTGCCATGTGACCACCTTCTCCCATTGGTGAGCTCTTCCTGGGACTTCCATTTTGGGGGAAAGCCCAAGCTGACCAGCCTTCATTCCCCTCCTGATTCTACTGATCACTTTCTTGACTCTGACACCATGTCAGCTTCCACTACCACCTCCACTGCCAGCTCCCCTCCCCCAATTCCTTTTCAGCTCTCTTTCATGTGTTGTCTTCCTTGATTAGTATGTAAGCTCATTGAGGGCAGGGTTTATCTTTCTTTTTTTCCTGAACCTGTATCCCCAGTGCTTTGCACAGCATTTGGCACATAATAAACACCTAAGAAATGCTTATTGCCTTGCTTTGTCTTGCCTGCTTTCAAAGATCTTGTGATTTAAAAGGAGAGATTTCAGAAACATAGAGATTTTATATTTCAAATACTTGTGTAACCCAGGTTTCAAAGGCCTTTTGCATAAGACTCTTCTCACTGGTGGAGATTAGTTGTACAGTATTACTTGCCTATGAGGGGAGTTGGCAAGAGCTTGGGATAGGAGAGATCCTTGGCTTCTGACTTCTGGCCTCAAGAGAGAAGACACACGGTTTCAGACTCTCTTTAGGGGAAAGTCCCTAAAGGAATAGAAGGATTCTGGGAAGAAGCCGACAGATAGAATAATCATGTCACTATCCCCAGCTTACTGCACTGGAGATTCGAGGGCATTTCCCCTGTGGTGAGATCTTGGACTCTCTGTCGTGGCCTGAGCTATGTCCCTCCTGGTAAGGGAGTTCATTTAATCTATATATTGCCGGGTATACTCTCATCTGTATATTTTCTCTGATTTCTGTCCACTTTCACCCTGGAGAAACGGGTTTATATGTTATCCACTACGTGTTGTCTTGTGGAACCAGCATTTGGTGACAAGTTAAGCCTCAGCTATATACCTTGGGGGTGTTCCTTCCCTGTTAGGGAAAACAACCAGGATTGCAGCTCAAAACTAAAAATTATACCCCCTAGACTAACAACATCTAGAGGGCAGATAGATGTAATTTTATCCTAGTACTGAGAAGAGCAGAGTGGCCAAAGCCTGGTACCAATCTCTTGTTTCCCCTCCTAGCAGGAATCAAAGTCTCCCTTCAAGAAGAGTGAATACAGGATACTGTAACAAATGTGTATTGACTCTCAAAGAATTATTGCTAAATTTTCAATGTGAGTATTCACACCTTGGAAATCAGCAAATGTTATAATAAATCAGGACTTGATTTGTTCTTTTGTTGACTGTCTAGACTTAAGAAAGTGACAGAGAAAAGTTAATAACATAGATAAACTTAAAAGTATATCCTATAGAACACAAGCCATGGAGTCAGGAGGACCTGAGTTCAAATCTGGCCTCAAACACTAATAGCTGTGTGACCCTGGGCAAGTCACTTAACCCCAATTGCTTACACACACACACACACACACACACATCCTTCATTTTTTTTGAGAGCTGGTTGTTAAACATTTACCAATACACCCCTGGATAGGTGGAGGAAACTCTGAAAATATCTCTTCATGCCTCCTTTTGAGCCACATCTAGACAGACCCATGTGAACACATAATCTATATAAGCAACAAGACATACCCCTTACACTGGCCTAGTAGTTCTCTCACTCCCAAATCAAATGTCATTATTCTGTTAAATGTGCAAATGAACATCAAATTACTCCTCAGTTAATGACCCCTTAGTGAAGATTGATTCAGAAGTATTCTCTGCAAATTAAAATGGCCTATCTAGGGGCATTTTCTGACATAGAAATTATACTTCATCTTATGTGGCCCAGTCAGAATACAACTCTCCCTAATTGAATTCAATTAAATCAGATAAACATTTATTAAGTTCCTACTATAATCAAGACACTGTTGTAGATTCTGGGAATACAAAGACAAAGCTAAAACTGTTCCTGTTCTCATGGAGCTTATATTCTACTGACCTCAAAGTGGTTCAGTCAAATTGCCTCAAAAGAGGAAATAGCATTTTAAAGGGACTGGGACAAATGTCCCAATTTTCTTAAAAAGGGAAGAGAATGGAACTTAAACTCTATAAATCAGGGAGCTTGATTGTTATTCCAAGCAAAATTTTAGTCTGCATTATTAAAGAGAAGATTGTTGACCATCTAGAAAGGGCAATGGTGATCACAATCACGCTAAACTAACTCTACCTCCTTCTTTGGCAGGATTACGAGACTGTTAGAATAGGAGCATGCTATAAATATGTTTTACCAAGGTTTTAGCAAAGTGTTTGGTAGCCTTTCATGCTATTCTTTGGTGAAGAGATGTCAGCTTAGATAATAATACTAGAATTCAAAACAGATTAAATGCTGAGATAGAAAGTGAAGTCATTAATGGTTGCATGCCATACTCCTAGGAGGTTTCTAACAGACTGGTACTGTTTAACATTTTTATCAGTAACTCAGATAAAGGCTTAGGCAGCATCCTTAGCATATTTTTAGGTAATGTAATCTTGGGACAGATAAATAACTCACTGTATTCTAGGGGTAGCATCCAATAAATCTTGACAAGCTAGAACATTTGGTTGAATATTATGAGATGAAATTTAACAGTGATAAACACACAGTTATACATTTGAATTCCAAAACATCAATCTCACAATTACAAGATAGCAGGGGTTTGGCTATAAAATAATTTTCCTTGAGAAGATCTAGAGGTTTCAATGGACTTCAACTTCATGTGAATCAACAATGTGACATGGCAGACAAAAATGTTATAATGAATTTGGGCTGTGTTAAGAGAAGTATTCATTGATGTTGTTGTTTAGACCTTCCGTGGCGTCCAACTCTTTGTGACCCCATGGACTCTCCATGGGGTTTTCTTAGCAAAGATACTGGAATGGTTTGCCATTTCCTTCTCTAGTAGACCACCTTTTGTCAGAACTCTCTATTGTGATCTACCTAGCCTAGGTAACCCTTCATGACATAGCTCATAGTTCATTGAGCTATGCAAGCCCCTCTGCCATGACAAGGCAGTGGTCCAGGAAGGGAAGAGAGGTATATCTTCTGTGAACAAGGAAAATGATAGTCTTATTGTGCTTCACCCTGGTCAGACCCCATTAATGATGTTGTATTCAGTTCTGAGCACTACATTTTAGGAAAGACATGACACACGTGGAAATGCCCAGAGAAAGGAGGCCACTTTCAAGAAAGGCTTTGAGATCCATGTCATATAATCAGCTGCAGGAACTAGGGATGTTTAGTTTGGAAAAGATTAGATTCAGAAGTACCTGTCTTCAATATTGGGGAGACTTGTCACTTGAAAGAGGGATTAGACTTGATCTGCTTGGCCCCAGAGGGCAGAACTGGGAGCATTGGGTAGAAGGTACAAAAATACAAATTCAGGCCTGAGATCAGGAGGAAGAAATTGCTGAATAATAAGAGTTATCCTGAAGTAAATGGGATGCCGTGAGAGGTAGTAGGTTCCCTCTCATTGCAGTTCTCCAAATGGTAGTTGACCAACTACATATTGAGTATGTAGAGAAGATTCTTGTAGGTATGAGTTAGACCAGATGGCCACTGAGGTCCCCTCTAGTTCTGATATTCCATGATTCTATGAAATACATGTGAAGGTCATGTCTATTCAAGTTAATTTAATTTAATAGACACTTATTAAGAACTTCCTATCTGCAAGGTGCTGTGCTAGGCACTGGAGATGGCAAGATAAAAATCCAAGTCTTCTTTGCCATCACAGAACTTATATTCCAATGAGGGATACATGTACAATAAGAGGGTTTATAAAAATTAAAACAAAGTGATTTTTAAAAATGGAAGAGAGAGACAATGCTGGCAACTATGGGCATCAGGAAAAGTCTCCTGCAAGAGATGGCATCTTAGTGGTGCTTGGAAGGAAGCCAGGAGGTCCCACAAAAAGGAAATGAGAAGAGAATGCACTCTAGACCTGAATGACTACTTGGGCAATGACATGGAGACTTCAATAGAATGTCATGCACAATGAACAGCTGGTGGGCCACTTTACCTAGAACAGAGAATATGTGAAGGAGAGTTGTAAGTGGGAGTCAGATTGTGGAAGGATTTAAATGACTGGTGTATTTTATTCCTGTAGGCAATAGGCAATCATTAAATGAGTGAAATTTGAAAGAGTGAAGGGTTTGGAGAGAAAGCTGATGAGTTCCGTTTTGGAAATGTTGAGTTTAAAATAACTATGGGACATCTAGATCGAGATGTTCAAGGAGCAGTTGGAGATGCATGTGTGTGTGTGTGTATTTTACAAACACTCTTGTGTACATGTATTTCTTGTTGGAATGTAAATACTTTAAGGGCAGATTTGATTGCCCTTTTCCTGGTATTGAATTTTATCCTGGTATGCTCAGTGCTTAGTATAGTACTTACATATTAGTGTAAGTGCTTAATAAACACTTGTTAAATTGAATTGATTTGAATAGACATGACCTTCAGATGTATTTCATAGACCCTTGGAATGTCAGAGCCAGAGGGAACATATATGTGTGTGT